ACAAACTAGAAAAGAGAAGAAATGGATAAATTCTTGGAAACACAACCTCCCAAGCCAGAATCAGAAGAAATAGAAATACTAAACAGACCAATAACAAGAAAAAAGATTCAAGTAGTAATTTAAAAAACCCAAAACTCCCAATTATAAAAGCCCCAGACCAGATGAATTCACAGCTAAATTCTATCAGACCTACAAAGAAAAACTAGTACCTATCCTACAGAAATCATTCCATAACATTGAGAAGGAGGATATCCTCCCTAACTAATTCTATGAAGCTAGTGTTACCTTGATACCAAAGCCAGGAAAGGACATACAAAAAAAAAAAGAAGAAGAAAAACTATAGACCATATCCCTTTTTAACATAGATGCAAAAATCCTCAACAAAATACTAGCAAACCAAATTCAACAGTATATCAAGAAGATAACTCACCATGATAAAGTGGGTTTTAACCCAGGGATGCAAGGATGGTTCAACATATGCAAATCAATAAATGTGATTCACCACATAAATAGAAACAAAAACAAGGACCAACTGAGAGAGGTAGAAAAAGTATTTGATAAAATCTAACACTTTTTCATGATAAAAAACACTCAACAAACTGGGCATAAAAAGAACATATCGGCTGGGTACAGTGGCTCACTCCTGTAATCCCAGCACTCTAGTAGTCCAAGGTGGGAGGATCACACAAGGTCAGGAGTTTGAAACCAACCTGTGCAAGACCAAGACCCTGTCTCTACTAAAAATAGAAAGAAATTAATTGGCCAACTAAAAATATATAGAAAAAATTAGCCAGACATGATGGTGCATGCCTGTAGTCCCAGCTACTCAGGAGGCAGAGGCAGGAGGATCACTTCAACCCAGGAGTTTGAGGTTGCTGTGAGCTAGATGCTGATGCCACAACACCCTAGCTTGGGCAACAGAATGAGACTCTGTCTCAAAAAAATAAAAATTAAAAAAAAAAGAACATATCTCCAAATTATAAAAGCCATATATAACAAACCCACAGTCAACATCATACTCAATTCCAACATCATACTGAATGGGGAAAAGTTGAAAGCATTCCCCCTAAGAACTGGAACAAGAAAATTATGTTCATAGTCACCACATCTATTGAAAATACTACTAGAAGTCCTAGCCAGAGCAATCAGGCGAGAGAGAGAAATAAAGGCCATTCAAATCATGAAAGAGGAGGTCAAACTGTCCCCATTTGCTGACAAAATGATCTTGTATCTAGAAAACCCTAAAGACTCCACCAAAAGACTCCTAGAATTGATAAATAAATTCAGCAAAATATCAGGTTACAAAATTATACACAAATCTGTAGCATTTCTGTATACTAATTGCTATTAGTCAAGCTGAGAGTCAAATCAAGGACTCAATACCATTTACAATAGCTATTTAAGAAAAAACCTAAGAATATACTTAACCAACGAGAGCTACAAAATATTGATGAAAGAAATCATAGATAAAACGCAAATGGGAAAACATGCCATACTCATGGATTGGTAGAATAAACATCATTAAAATTTGCATACTGCCCAAAGTGATTTACAAATTCAATGTAATTCCCATCAAAATACCAATGTCGTGTTTCAAAGATCCAGGAAAAAAACCTCTAAGCTTCATTTGGAACCAAAGAAGAACATGAATAGCCAAGACAATTTTAAGCAAAAAGAACAACTCTGGAGGCATCACAGTATCTGACTTAAAATTATACTATTAATACAATGCTATAGTAATCAAAATAGCATGGTACTGGTGTAAGAGTGGAGATACAGACCAATAGAATAGAATCGAGAAACCAAAAATAAAACCATTTATCTAAAACCAACCAATTTTGGATAAAGACGACAAAAGAATACACTGGGGAAAAGAAGCCCTGTTCAATAGATGGTTTGGGGAAAACCAAATAGCCACATGCAGAAGAATGAAACAGGACCACTGTCTCTTGCCATATACAAAAATTAATTCAAGATGGATAAAAGACTTAAATGTAAGGCATGAAACCATAAAAATTCTAGAAGAAAATAAAGGAAAAACCCTTTAGATATTGGTCTGGGCAAAGAATTTATGACTAACATCCCAAAGTCAAATATAGCAACAATAAAAATAAATAAATAGAACTTAATTAAGAATCTTCTGCATAGCAAAGGAAACAACCAATGGAGTAAACAGACAACCTACAGAATGGAAGAAAATATTTGCAAACTATACATCCAATAAAGGGCTAATATCCAGAATTTACAAAGAACTCAAACAAATCCACAAGAAAAAACAAATAATCCCATTAAAAAGTGGGAAAATGACATGAACAAAAGTTTTTCAAAAGAAAATAGACAAATGGCCAACAAAGATATGAAAAATGCTCAACATCACTAGTCATCAAGGAAATGCAAATTAAGACCACAATGAGATACCACCTTACCAGTCAGAATGGCCATTATTAAAAAATTTAAAAAACATTTATTTTTTCTTGTTGCTGTGATTGCCCTTGGGGTCTTCTTCATAAATTCTTGGTCTAGGCCAAAATCTAGAAGAGTTTTTCCAACATTTTCTTCTAGAATTTTTATGGTTTATTCTTGAGATTCCTCAAAGAAATAAATGTATACTTACTATCCAATCCAGCAATTCCACTACTGAATGTCTACCCAAAGGAAAAGAAGTCATTTTATCAAAAAGATACCTGCACTTGAATGTTTTTTTAAAGCTTATTTCAAGTTTATTATAAAGAAATAAAAGTAAAAAATTTCCTTATACATTTGATATAGTCATACCATGCTGAAGTTTATAACATGGACACTAGGGGCTCAAATTCTGACACATAAACCTCTATTTGTTTATTTATTTTTGATAAAATGTTTATCACAGGCAGCCTGAGGACAGCTTCTTTTTCCCCCAAAGCTAACTATGAAAAGGTAATTGATTGTATTTAGTTCTTAGAACACAAGAAACAACATAACAGGCAATTTTTTAAAATAAATATTCTAAATAATAGTAAATGGGATTCTTTCAACAATAGTACCATTTGTTACACTGAGAGAAGATGGATTTTTCCGAAGATTTCCAAACCTCATAATATTCTTTATTTATACTCCTTCTTCCCTCCCCTCCCCCAGACACAAATATAATAAAATTTTGATCTCACATGTATAAAAAGGCTCTATAAATGTTGGGGAAAACTGAATAAATCAAAAATAGCATATGTCAAATACAAATTTAGCAAGTGTTAAGATCTTAACAGAAATTATAGAAAACAGACTTTTAGTTAAATACCTTTAAATTGCTGCAAGAGAATCAATGAAATCATAGCTTTAATACATAACTAAGAATTATGACTATATCCTTTGCTTTAATACTTTTATTCTAAAATGTGACCATAAGTAAAACATATATATATATATAAATTATTTCCAGAAAACCAACCAAACATATTTTAGATATACCTTAACCTAGTTTTTCTTAAACTGAGCTCTAGGACCCAATGGGGCTAGTAGTTCTATACAAGCATTTTTTTTAAGTTTTGTTTTAATTTCAGTGATAATATAAACAGTATATCCTAAGTCACCTGAATAACCAACTCATAACTAAACACTGAATTATTTCAGTGCCTATAGTTGCAACATGTTGCTCACACTGGCACCAAGTGGGAACTGACAGATAACATAAAATAATGCCATTATGTTTTATTCTCAGGGGTCCTTAGGTTCTCAAATTTGAGAAACACTATCCTAAACTTTTACAAGTATGCTTAGCTAAAACTGAAATGCTAACTTGCCTAACATATCTAACTTAAATTGTTACCCTCTCCAAGAAGAAAACCAAAAACTCAGGACCTCTTTACAAAAAAGTATGAAATTTATTTCAATATCTAGTTTCATTTTTAAATTAAAGCTGTTGGAAAATTTTTATAATTTAATATTCATTATCAGATGTGCAGAAAACATCAAGATATTAAATACTGAGTCAATGAATAAAATTATTGGATCATGCATTTATAAATGTCATGTTTAATAGTGAAAAGGTCCAGTTATACTACTTAATTGACAGAAACATACTTTAACTCTTTTCTTCTAATTATAGCACATTCTCATTGACATAATTTATCCTCTTCACCCAATTACTATGCCCAACAAAATGTTTACAAATTTTAAGCCTTTCCTTACAACTTATGAAGTATAACTTAACTGTTACTCTTTAAGAGTTCTTCAAAAGAAATGTGAAATTTTAGTTTTCCCTTTGAACCTGTTTGACAAAAAAATATTGGACATCACTACCATATAAGTTAAAACAAAGAATGGAATAAAAAACAAAAGTGTCTATATAATAAGCAAATTATAGATATTTTAACTATTTCACAGTTCTACTTAGCACAAGAATAAACTGGTTCTAAGGTACTACAGTGCTTGGCATTTTTACTGCAAGCTATAAATCATAGTATTACTTTTCTTAAGTCATCTATAAGAAAATGGCAGTGTTCACTAAGTACAAAAATTGTTATATCCAGTAGGTGGCATTATATATAGTAGAGATAGAGAATTCTTTATAAAATTAGATTTAAAAAATGCAGAATGTCTTGTTAATTACCAGTTGTCTCAACGGCTAATATCAGAAAAATGCAGAAAATAGAAATACTCATTGATTAAACATTATTTTGCTTTGAGAAAGCCAAAAATGATCCTAAGAAATAAGCAATAATAAAAGATGTGATTAATACACTGTATCTCTTTTAAGCCAAAGCATACTTTTCACCTCAGTGAGTTCATTTCTGACTTTTATATTCTTAATTTCCTTTGTCCAGTAAAAGACCCCATTTTAAATAACTTATTTGAAAAGTTCATAATCTAAAGTCATTTTCCTCCACAGGATGTTTTCATTTCAGCATGTAAACTGCTAAATGGCAAATGACTAAGTCAGTTATAAAGAATTTGTACCATAGTAAAAGCCAATTTACAACAACTGTCAGTAGATACCAACAAAAATTTCTATACCCAAGCCTAAAAGTAACTACAGTATTGAGGTCAGAATTAGCATGATTCTTCCATTTGTTCAAATTTCCTTTACTAAATAATACTGTCAAGAAATACAAAAAAGAAACCTTAGTAATTCCTTCCAAAGCTGCATAATTTTCCAAATGATTTTCCTCTGGTTAGAGAGCCTGTTTATTCCTTCAATCCTGTTATAGTCGTTGGTTAGCTTTTGCAATATTTTCTTGACGTTTTTGTTTCTTCTTTTGCTCCTTCTCCCTGGCCTCAATTATGTTGGCCAACTTCCAAGACAGTACAGCACTTGCTAGGAACAGTGGAATTAGGGCCAAAATAACTGTTGTAAGGAAGCCATAAGGGTCCTTTGCAGCCCATTCCACAACATACTCAGCCCAAGCCTTAATGTCAAACATCTTTGTAGCAGTCTTAGGAAAACTTATGCTTGAGTTGTGATCTCTTAACTTTGTCCTGGTATTATTAGTGAGCCAATCACAATTCTAGATTACCCTGGATTGTCTGTCTCTCATCTTCTTGAGTTCTACCATGCACTTCTGAGAGAAGGTTTAAATTCTATACTGTATGGTGCCTGAAGCTGCAACTTCAGGCACTTTCTGGCCATATGCACTTTCTCCTTTGTCTTCCTCTTCTTATGTTACTCCCCTGCTCACTCTTCCTTCCTTACCCTAACGTAACAGTAGCAGCCATTGGCCCAGGGGAGCCGTATTCACCCTGCCCCTCAGCCTTGGCAAGCGCAGGCCCCTCCGCAGTGCCAAAGATTTCAGGAAAAATGGGATTGGCACCGCCACCCTTGCGTCTAGGCTGCCTGCGCTAGGCACGGGGATAAACCACCCCAGCGGCCACCACTAGCCTCCCCTACGTTGTGCCAGGGACTCAGACCCACTCCCCTGCACTTGAATGTTTATCACAACACAATTCACAATTGCAAAGATGTGGAATCAACCTAAGTGCCCATCAATTTATGAGTGGATAAAGAAAATGTGGGAGATATAGAGTATTCCTCAGCCATAAAAAGGAATGAAATGATGTCTTTTGCAGCAACTTGGATGAAACTGGAGACCATATCTTAAGTGAAATATCTCAGGAATGAAAAAACAAATACCACATGTACTCACTAATAATTGGGAGCTAAATGAAGAGGAAGCATGGGCACAAGGAGAGATAAAGGATATTGGAAACCAAAATGGGGGGATAGTGGGAGAATAGTAAGGGGTAAAAACTTACCTGTTGGGTACAGTGAACTCTATTCTGGTGATGAGCACACTAAAAGCCCCAACTTAAGCAATATACAAGGTATCCAAATAACAAAAACCTTTGTAGTACGTTGATATTTTGAAATAAAAAAACAAAACAAAATAAGAAAAATAAATGTTGTATAAAGGAAGTATTTCAGGAATTCATACTGATATATCCATTTTTCCTGCTATTAAAGGCCATTTGTCAATTTTGTAAATAAAGAGATCAAAGCTGCTTCAGAAGTGTAAAACTCTACTATAGTGCTCTCAAGATTTTAAAAATGAATAATATTCTCAAAGTTATAACAATTAGCTGTTCAGATGACCTCACAGAATCAATGAGAATCATTTATTTATATCCAAAATATTTTAATAGTAAAGAATAAAGAATACATCTCTACAATTCATTCCTAGCAACCAAAGGCTAACTTTACAAAGTTGAAAACTTAGTAAAAACAGTTTTCACAAATATAAGGTAATAACAAAATATAAGCATCTAATTGTCTGAATATAATGACAAATTTTTAAATAATATGTAGTTTTTTCAAATTTAGGCCAAAAATATAAAAATATAAAGAAAGAAATTATTTTTGCTAATCTTTTTTCAAAGTCTCAATTTCCATAAAAAGTTTGGCTCTTTGGAAAATGAGATTAAAAAATTAACTATACATTTGACATTATTAGGATCCTTAATCACCCTGATTTTCTGAAACTAAACAAACAGCTTTTCTGCTTCCTTTACTTTTTTTTTCCTATCCATTTTAGATATTATAGACCAACGATCCTCTTGTATTGTTCTTATAGATCCAACCTTCACTGAAGATCCAGGGGCTGTTAGAGATGAAGGAGTCTAAATACAAAATAAAATTAAATAATAACATTTAATTATTTTTTAAAAAAAGATATCCAGCTTTTAAAATTTCTTTTCTGAAATAAAATTTAAATGCTACCTTTTTTGGTGTTCTGACACAAAGATGAGAAGTTGGTGGATTATTATTCTTGCATAGTTTTTTCAATGTCTCTTCCTCTGAAACCATGCTCTTGAAGAAAAATACAAAAATATATAATGTTGAGTTACTATCATTATTATACTATTAAAATTATGTTAACATATGAGACTAATTAAGAGTAGAAATAGGGAGGGAAAAGGGAGAAAAAAGAAGGAAGGAGGTAGGAGAAAGAGAGTAAAGAAAGAAGAATAACCAAGTAAAGAAGAGAACAACAAAATGAATTCTCAATTGGCCAACAAGGACCTAGATTTTTATTCTATTAAATATAATCCTGAAATACTACGTGAGATACAAGATGTGTATAATGGGTAGTATTTTACTACTGATTTCTATTTCAGTTTCAGAGTCTTTATGCTGCCATTTTTTTTCTCCTCCTCCTACCCCTGCCAAGGTCTAAAAGTGAGTTTTTAGAAATGTTTATGATAAACATTTATAATCTTATAAAAATTATACTATTACCCATGATTCAGCAACTCCACTTTTGGGTATATACCCGAAAGAACTGAAAGCAGAATCCAAAGAGATCATGTACATCCATGTTAACAGCAGCATTATTCAAACAGCTAAAACATGGAAGCAACCAAGGTATCTACCAACAGATTAATGAATAATCAAAATGTAGTGTATACACACAGTAAAATAGTATTCAACCTTAAAAAGGAAGAAAATTCTGACACATGCTACAATATGGATGAACCTGAAGACATTATGCTAAGTGAAAAAACCTAGTCACAAAAGGACAAATATTATATGATTCCATTTATATGAGATACATAAAGTAGTCAAAATCATAGAGACAGAAAGTAGAATGATGGTTGCCAGAGGCTGGAGAGAGGGTGGAATGAGGAGTTACTGTTTAATGGGTATAAAGTTTTAATTTTACAAAATGAAGAGTTATGTAGATAGATGGTGGTAATGGTTACACAACATTATGAATATATTTAATAACACTGAACTATACAGTTAAAAGTAGTTAAGATGTAAATTTTATGCTATGTGTATTTTATCATAATAAAAATTATAATTATATATTTAAGAATACTGTAATTCTCTAAAATAACAATAGCTAACACTTATATAGTATTTTCTATATACCATATACTGTTTTAAACACTTTCCAAATTTTAATTAGTTTTAATCTTCAAATAGTTTTATGAATTAGGTATACCATTATCCCGATTTTACAGGTGAGGAAACTCAGGCACACAAATATTAAGTAACATGTCCTAGATTATAGAGCTAGTAAAAGGTGGAAGGAAATTCAAATCCAGTTAGCCTGGCTCTAAAATCCATTCTCTTAAAGAATATGCTACACAATTTAGTTGGGTAAGCAGTCAGTTCACATGATCTTTTCATGCTCCTTAAAGCCATACTTAACAAAAACTTAAGAGGCTTCATGGATGAGAAATTTCAAACAGATATTCATTAATCTAAGATTTCAACAGAATTCAACAAATAACTCATAGATCTATCTTTATGGATGACCAGCTTAAAAAAAGAGAAATAAATTATTTTTAAAATCATGTTGTAAACTATCAACAAAATTTTACTTAGTGCACAGTAATTGATTATTCATGAATGACTTCCCATATAAAAATGATTAATGTTAATCCAATTTAAAACAGCAAAACCTTATCTGTGCTTCTCTTTGTAGCATTCTTTACATGTGCTTATTGGCCATTTATATATCATAACTAGAGAAATGTCCATTCAAGTTCTTTGCCCATTTTCTAATTGGGTTGTTTTGTTGTTGAGTTGTGGGAGTTGGTCATGTATTCTAGACATTAATCTCTTCTCAGATATATGATCTGAAAATATTTCTTCCCACTCTGTAGCTTGTCTTTTCACTTTCTTGATAGTGTCCCTTGATACATAACAGTTCATAATTTTGATGAAGTCCAATTTATTTTTTCTTTTATTACCCATGTTTTTGGTGTCATATCCACAAAGGAGCTGCCAAAGTTAATGTCATGAAGATTTCTCCACTGTTTTCTTCTAGAGTTTTACAGTTTTAGCTCTTAAATTTAGATCTTTAACCCATTTTGAGTCAATTTTTTATATGGCATAAGGTAAGCAATATATTTTGGATATTTATCCCCTCCAAACGTCATGTTGAGATTTGATCCCCAGTGTTGAATGTGGGACCTGATAGGAGGTATTTGGGTCATTGGAGCAGGTCCCTCATGAATGGCTTGATGCTGTATTCAGACTAGTAAGTGAGTTTTCACTTTATTAGTTCCTGAGAAACCTAATTTATTTTATTTATTTTTTTTAAAAAAGCCTGACACCTCCCTCCCCTCTCCCTTCCTTTCTCACATGATATGCTGGCTTCCCTTCACCTTCTGCCATGAGTAGAAGTAATTTGAGGCCCTCGCCAGAAGCAGCTGTTGACAACATGTTTCTTGTATATTTGTGAAACTGTGAGCCAAATAAAACCCTTTTGTTTATAAATTATCCAGGTTCCAGTATTCCTTTATGGCAACACAAACAGACTAAGAAAGTAAGGGTCCAACTTCATTCTTTTAGTTTTCCTAGCCCTAGTTGTTGAAAAAACTGTCCTATTGACCCATTGACTGGTCTTGGCACTCTTTTTAAAAATCAATTGACTATATATGTGAGAGTTTATTTCTGGGCTCTATTCTATTCCATTGGTCTATATATCTGTCTGTCCTTATACCAATAGTATAGTGTTTTAATTACTACCTTTGCAGTGAGTTTCAAAGTTGGAAACTGAGTCCTCCAACTTTATCCTTATTTTCCAAGATTGTTTTAGTCTTTGGGACTCTTTGCCACTCCATATGAATATTGGCTTTTTCATTTCTATAAAAAATGCTATTGGAATTTTGATAAAGATTGCATTGAACCTGAGTATTGCTTTGGGTGGTACTGACATCTTAACAATGATAAGTCTTCCTGTCCATGAATATAGGATGACTTTATATTTACTTAGGTCTTCTTTAATTTTTTTTCACCAATGTTTTGTAATTTTAGGTGTACAAGTCTTTCACTTCCTTGGTTACATTTGTTCGAAAGGATTTAATTATTTGTAAATAGAATTGCTTTCTTAATTTTCTTTTGGGACTGTTCATTGTCGGTGTACAGAGACACAATCAATTTTTGTTTGTTGATCCTGTATCCTGCAATTTTACTGAATTCATTTATTAGCTCTAGTAGCTTTCTTATAGAGTCTTAGAAATTTTGTATCCATAGGATTGTGTCATTTGTGAAGAAAAGTAGTTTTTTCTTTTCCTTCTGCATGCCTTTTAAACATTTCTTTTACTTGTCTAATATCTTTAGATATTAAAGATATATAACTTTATTTAGATATTAAAGATATCTAACTAAAGTTAGATATCTTCATTATCTATACACAATTTAGTCAGGTAAGCAGTCAGTTCCAGTATAATGTATAATGTTGAATATCAGCAGTCAAACTGGGCATATTGACTTATACTTAACCTTAGAGGGTAAGCTTTCAGTCTTTCACCATTGAGTATGATGGTAGCTAGGGGTTTCCATAAATACCCTTTATCAGGTTGAGGAATTTTCCCTCTATTCCTAGTTTCTCAGTTTCTACCATGAATGGGCATTGGATTTTGTCAAATGCCTTTTCTGCATTGAGATGATCATATAGCTTTTGTCTTTTCTTTCTATGAATGTGATTTATTACACTGATTCATCTCTTTATGTTTCATCACAGGGATTCCTGGGATAAATCCCACCTGGTCATGGTGAATAATTTTTAAAATGCTATATAATTTGATCTTCTAATATTTTGTTGAGTGTTTTTATATCTAATTCATAAGGGATATTGGTCTGTAATTTTTTGTGTGTGTAATGTCTTTATCTGCCTTTGGTATCAAGGTAATTCTGGACACCTCATGAAATGAGGTAGAGAGTGTTCCTTCCCTCTTTAATTTTTTGGAAGAATTTAAGAAGAGTTGGTGTCATTTCTTTAAATGTTTGGTAGAATTCATTGATGAAACCACCTGGTCCAGGACTGCTCTTTCTTGGGAAGTTTTGTTTACTAATTTAAACTCTTTACTTGTTATAGGTCAGTTGAGGTTTTCTATTTCATTTTGAGTCAGTTTAGGGAATTTGTGAGTTACAAGGAATTTTCCCCTGTCTTCTAGGTTATCTAATTTACTGGCATATAATTATTCATAATGTTCTCTTATAATTCTTTTTATCTTTGAAAGTTCAATAGTCATATTCCCATTTTCATTTGATTTTAGTTATATGTGTTCTTTTTCTTTCTCTTTCTTGCTGCCAGTCTAGCTAAAGATTTGCCTGTTTTCTTGGTCTTTTCAAAGAACCAAGTTTTGGTTTTATTCATTTTCTTTATTGCTTTCTATTTTCTAATTTGTTTATCTCTGCTCCAATCTTTATTCCTTCCTTCTTTTTTCTTTCTTAATGTAGGCACTTATAACTATAAAGTTCACTGCTATAACTATAAAAAGAACTGCTTTTACTGTATTCCACAAGTTTTGGTATATTGTATTATTCTTTTTCATTCATCTCTAAGTATTTTCTAATTTCCCTTGTCATTTATTCTTTGACACACTGGTTGATTGAGAGTGTGTCATTTAATTTCCACAAATTTGTAAATATTTCTTTTCCTTCTCTTATTGATTTCTAACTTAATCTAATTGTGGTCAGAGAAGATACTTTGTGTGATGTCTATATTTTTAAATCCATTAAGATTTGTTTTGTGACTTAACATATGATCTATCCTTGAGAATGTCCCATGTGCACCTGAGAAGAATATGTATTCTGTTATTCAGCAGAATTTCTATATATGTCTGCTAGACCTATTTGGTTTATGGTGTTATTCAAGTCCTCTATTTCTTTACTTATCTTCTCTGGTTATTTCTATCCATTTTTGAAAGTCGGTTATTAAAGTGTCCACTAGTTCTTCCTTCAATTCTAGGAGATTTTGCTTCATATATTTTGAGCGTCTGTTATTAGGTGTATAAATGTTAAAACTGTCATATCTTCTTACTGTACTGAACTCCTTATTAATATATAAGGTCCTTTTATCTTTTGTACTTTATGACTTAAAGTCTGTTTTGTCTGATAGTAGTATAGCCACCTCAGCTCTTTTTTAGTTAGTATTTGCATAGAATACCTTTTTCTATCCTTTCATTTTCAGTCAATTTGTGTCTTTGGATATAAAGTGTCTTGAAGATAGCATAGAGTTGGATCATGTTTTTAAATCTATTCTTCCAATCTATGTATTTTAATTAGAGAATATATTTACATTTAAAGTGATTATTGATAAGGAGGGACTTATTTCTGCCATTTTGCTATTTGTTTTCAGTATGTCTTAATGAATTTTTTTGTTCTTCATATCCTCAATTACCAATTGTTTAGGCAGTTTTTTGTAATTAAACATTCTAATTCCCTTCTCATTTCCTTTCATGTATATCATGTAGATAATTTCATTGTAATTACCATGGGGATTACATTTCACTTCCTAATAATAATCTAATTCAAATTTGTATCAACTTAACTTCAATAGCCTACAAAATTCTGCTCCCACACAATTCATCCTCCCCTTCCATTAACTGATGTCACAAATTACAACTTTATAGTGTGCCCACTAATATACATTAACAACTTTTATGCATTTGTCTTTAAAATTATGTAGAAAAAGAGTAAAGTTATAAACCAAAATTAAAATACTAGCTTTTATAAATTGCTCATGCATTTACCTTTATCAGAGATCATTACTTATTCATACAGCTTTGAGTTACTAACATCCTTTCAATCTTAAGAACTCCCTTAGCACTTTTTGAAAAATAGGTATAGTGGTAACAGACTCTATCAGCTTTTATTTATTTGGGAATACCTTAATTTCTACCTTTTTGAAGGACAGTTTTTCCAGGTATAGACTTCTGAGCTGGTAAGTTTTATTCTTTCAGAACTTTGAATATATAAATGCACTGCCTTCTGACCTCCAAGGTTTCTGATGGAAATCAGCTAATAATCTCAGTGAAGATAATTTGTATGTGATGAGTTACCTCTCTTTTGCTACTTTCAGGATTTTCTTTAAACAGTTTGATTATAATGTATCCATGTGGGTCTGCTTGAGTTTATCCTACTTTGGAGTTTCTGAGCTTTGGGGGTTTGTTGACTCCTGTCTTTCATCAAAATTTGGAAAGTTTTGAGTCATGTATTTCTTCAAATACTCTTTTTGCCTATTTCCTCTCTTTTCCTTCTGCAACTCCTACAACGCATATATTCATCCACTTGATTGTCCTACAAGATTATGAGGCTCTGTTTACTTTTCTTTGTTCCTTTTTCTTTCCCTTTTTTAGACTCAACTACAATTGTCCATCTTCAAGTTCATCAATTCTTCTACTTACTTAAATCTTCCTTGGAATCCTTCTAGTGGGCTTTGAATCCTTCTAGTATAATTGAATCCTTTCAATTATACTTTTCAACCCCAGAATTTTTTTGTGGTCCTTTTTACAATTACTATCTCCTTATCAGCATTCTCATTTTATTTTTACATAGTTTTTTGTCTTTATCTATGTCTTTCTTTATCTCTCTGAGCTACTTTAAGACAGTTGTTTTAAAGTCTTTGTTTACTAAGGCCAATGTCTGGGCTTCCTCAATTTTTCTCAATAGTTCTGTCAATTTGTTTTGTTCCCTTGAATGGGCTGTCATTTCCTGTTTCTCTGTATGCCTTGTGTTTGTCTGTTGTTGTTGTTGTTGCTGAAACTGAACATTTGAATCTTATAATTTGGTAACTTTAGAAATCAGATTTTCCCTCTTCCCCAGAGTTTGGTATTTTTATTTATTTATTTATTTTCTTTTGTTTTACTATTGAAAGTGTCTCTGTGCCAAGGATCAGTCTAAGGTAAAAGCTTAAGGTCTCCTCAGGTCTTCTCTGAACCTGTGTCTTTCCCCAGGCATGTGCAGTGGCTTTCTAAATTCCTTTTTGCTTTTGTGTTTCAATGCCCTACTCCTTAAATGCCTGTCTCCCCAAAGAATTAAAATGGAAAAAGAGAAAAGGGGTAGGGGAAGCCAAACAGGTGTAGTTCATGTAAATTTCTGGAAGTCACTTCAGCCAGTGGGAGTTGGAACACTGAACCCTGATATTTGGAATATAAGGTCTTTGTTGCTCACCCTGGCTCCAGCAAGCCACACAAGGAACATGAACATGGCTGCCTACCATGGGACTGTGGGTTAGGAGACTGGTAGCTGCTACCACACTTAAGGCTGAAACTGACCAAAATCAACTGGTAATTTACCAGCCAAACTTTCAAATGAAACTCCAGAGTTTCAAAATAGTTACTTCAAACAGTTTATGTCAGTACACTTGTTATCTAGGTGGAGAGATGGATTACTGGCACCTCCTATTCCATCTCCCTGGGGTCATGCTTAACAATCCATTTTTAAATCTTAATTTTTATAATAATTTGAATATTCACCAAAATTTACCTACATAAGCTAGAAAAATTACAAAAATGACTAATAGATTGATATGATAATTATAACCAAGGAAACTCACTGTGAAACGTCTTTTTAGACTAATTTAAAGATTGTGTGCAATTCTATGATTGTAATGTTTTTACTGTACTGCAAAGTTGATTGATATTCCTTTAAAAAAACAAAATGAAGTAGTTTTGAATCATTCTAAATTTTTTATCAGCTAAGAAAGTGGCCTAAATTCACACTGCTGTAAAAATAGCAGGGGTTACAACCCTAGAATGTTTAATTCCAAAGCCCCATATTCTTTCTACTAATTCTCATATGTTTTTATATATCTGAATTGCAGTTTAAATTGGCAGTTACTATGTACAATGAGTTACATAGGATACAGAACCAAACTTTTTGTGTTAAAATTTTGGCTCCATGCCTTACAGCTATGTGATTTTGAAAAAGGTATTCATTTGACTGCATTTCTTCATCTGTAACCTAAAATAAGAATACTTCTATACAATTATCTTTCAGTATCCATGGGGCATTGGTTCTAGGACCTCCCTGTGGATACCCAAATCTGGGTATGCTCAAGTCCCTTATATAAAATGTCATAGTATTTGCATATAACCTATGCATATCCTCCTGTATACTTTAAATCTGCAGTCCCCATCCCTGGGCCACAGCCCAGTGTCAATCCATGGCCTATTAGTAACTGGGACACACAACTTCTGCCTCCCAACTCCTATCCACCTCCCCGTAGCCCCCATCCATGGAAAAATTATATTCCATGAAACTTTGGAACTGGGCCACATAGCAGGAGGTGAACAGCAAGTGAGTGAGCGAAGCTTCATCTATATTTACAGCCGCTCCGCAGCTCCTGCATTACCACCTGAGCGCCACTGCCTCCTCCCCTGAATATTGCAATGGTAGGTTCTATGCCCATATATTATACATATACATCAAGAAATAATATATGCAAATAATAATATAAACAAATAACAAATAGTGATTATTTGTAATATTTTTACCAAAAGATCATTAGGTTCTGAGCTATCCGAATTAATATCGAATTCAAAGACCATTTTTCTCTTTTTGTTACTTTCTTCAATGGGTTTATTCTTGTTTTCTCTTTGATGTATTTTCATTTTTGTTGGTGTCTTCACTGTATATGCCTATGCAAAAATAAAAAATAATATATTATCACATCAAATAAAACATATACTATTAAAAAGGATTTAATAAATAATTTCAAGATAATCTGTCTTTATCAATTATAAATCTCCATTATTACTGGCAAGTATATGAAGCAAAAATTTTAAATAAAAATTTAAATTCAATTGTTTGGATACCAGAAATTTTCTAACATTTTTCAAAAAATTTATAATGGTGGACTTTCTTTGTCCTTCCCTTCAACTTGCTAAAAAAGTAAGAAAGAGAGAGAAAGAGAAAGCTACTACCATTTCAGTAATCAACAATCTTAAGAGGGACTTTAATTTTTTTAATCATGATTAAAAACAAAGAACTGAGTGACTTTTGTTCTCTTCACAAAACTCTTTATAAAGCAATAATATTTTCTTACAAAGCAGTAAGAAAATATATTGGCTTATTTTTTTGTTAGTAAATTTACTTACATTAGTCAATGTTTAGGATTCTATAATACCCTGTAATTTTTATAATTTAAAAAAGTATCTTTAAAAAGTAAAGTCAATGACAACAGCAAAAACGGTAAAGGAGCTCCAAAAATCCACTCTTCTATAAAAGCTATAAAAATACTGGTATAAGTTGGCACAGTCAGGTTTTTTTTTTTTAATTCTAGAAATTAACCAAAGGCTTACAGCAAGTTGAAGAGTATTTATTCCACCACCCCCCAAAATGGTTGAACCTTTGCAAGAACAGCAAACGTTGTGACATTTTAATATTTCCAGGTCTCATCCCCTGCTCTCCAGCTCTATGTTATCCTTAAAAAATAACAGCCCACATTCCTGATGCAACCTAGCAACCACCAGACAGAGCAGAACAGAATTGAAGCCCTTTCAAAGCTTTACTCCTGAAGATTTGTCATTTTTTGATCTATCTGATGGGTCTCTGAAAGATCCCACCTACAAGGCTGATTATATTCAACCTGAGAACTCACTCAAATGAAAAAGGCCTTCTCTTTAGTGTGCATGTGAGGTAGGGGGCAGCATTTGTAAAAAAAACAATTATGAGAACATGTTTTAACTTTGCAGCAACCTGAAGCAGTGATTAACAGAGCAAACAAAGGACTAACCAAAAATCTTAAAAGGAAAGCTAGGAAATGAGATATCCATAGGGGCTATGAAAAGCTCTGAAATATTCCTGGAAATATAGAAGCCCACGCATATGTGTAGGGCTGTATACAGGTTCAGGAAAGACCTGAGAAAGCCATAAGCTCTCACCGCTGGCTTATCTTGAGTTTCTGGTACAAGCAGGAATTTGAAAGCTAAGGTAGATTTGTCAACTGCATGGCTAAATGTTGAAGGTATGCCCTCATATACACAAAAAGACCCTTAGCAAAGATTGGGAAATTTACTGATTTAAGGAAATTTCTGTCCAAACATTAGCTGAACACTAATCAGGTAGAGACCAGTTTCAATCACAAGAGTATAAACTTTTCAAAATTAATTTAGAAAAATTATTAAACAAACAATAACAACTAAAACAAGAAGAAAAAACAATAAACCATGGGGTTAGGGGAGAATCTAATTTCCAGAGTTGTCGCTATATTTTTTTAAATGTCAGTTTTCAACAAAAAAAATTATGAGACATGAAATGAAACAAGAAAGTATAGCCTATAGAGACAAGGAAAAGCAAACAATAGAAACTTTTCCTAAGGAAGCCCAGACATTGGACTTACTAGAAAAAGATTTCAAGTCAGTTATTTTTAATATGTCCAGAGAGCTAAAGAAAATCACACATAAAATGCTAAAGGAAAGCATGAAAGTAATGTCTCCCCATATGGATATCAATAAAGAGATAGAAATTATCAAAAGAACCAAATAGAAATTCTGAAATTAAAAAGAATAATAACTGAAATGAAAAATTCACTAGAAAGGCTCAACAGCAGATGTGGGATCCATGAAACTAAAGATAGTTCTTTGATATTATTGTACCTTAGAAACAGGAAAGAAGTGAAGAAAAACAAACAGCCTCAGAGACTTGTGTATACCACCAAAGATATGAACATTCACACAATGAAAATTATGGAACAAGCACAGAGAGAGAAAGGACAAAAGGAATGTTTAAAAAAATAATGGCTGAAACCTCCCAAATTTGATGAAAACATCAATCTATACATTTAAAACACTCAACAAACTCCAAGTAGGATAAACTCTAAAAGAACTATACCTAGACATATTATAATAAAACTGTTAGAAGACAAAGATAAACTTGAAAGCAGCAAGATAGAAGCAACTCCTCATGTACAAGAGACCCTTAATAATATTAACAGCTAATTTTTCATCAGATATCATACAGTCCAGAAGGTCATGGGTGACATATTCAAAATGCTTAAAGAAAAGGAATTATCAAGAAATAATTCTATATTCAGCAAAATCATCTTTCAAGAATGAAGAAGATAGCAGAAAACTTGGTTCCTTAAAAAAAAAAAAAAAGAATGAAGAAGAAATTAAGACATTTCTAGATAAACAAAAACTGAGAAAATTTATCATTAGTAGACCTTCCCTACATGAAATACTAAAGGGAGTCCTTCAGTCTGAAATAGAAGAATACTGGTCTTGCATCCACATGAAGAAATAAAGAGCACTGGTAAAGATAACTTCTTTGGTAACTATAAGAGATAACATAAACATATTTTTGTTCATAACTCTTTTCCTATGTGGTTTAAAACATAAACACATAAAGCAATAATTATAATACTTTGTCAGGCTTTCAATATATGAATGTGTGATTTTTATGACAATGATAGCACAAAAGAAGGGGTTGGAATGAAGCTATATTAGAGCAAAGTTTTTGTATACTATTGAAATTACATTAATATTAATTCAAAGTAGGTCATTTTAAGTTAAGGTGTTAATTATAATCCTCAAGGCCATCACTAAGAAAATAAGTCAAAAATACGTAAAAAACAAAAGAATTAAAATATCACAGTAAATAGTATCTAATTAAAAAAGATATTAATGGAGAAACAAAGGAACAAAAAGACACAAGACACATACAAAACAAATAACAAATGGTAGAAGTAAATCCTACCTTATCAGTAATTATATTAAGTACAAATAAACACTTCAATCAAAAGGCAGAGATTGACAGAACGAATGCTGAAAAGAAGCCTGATCCAACTATAAAAGATATACTTTAAATTCAATGACACATGCTGCTGTTTATCATTTTGTTTAGATCCAGGCACACCTGTGTTAGGTGCTTAGATATTTAGGATTGTTATGTCTTCTTGTTGAATTGTTTACCATTATATACTGACCATCCTTGTCTTTACTTTTGTTGATTTGAAGTCTGTTATCTGATGAGAGAATGGTGACACCAGCTTTCTTGTGGTTTCCATTTCTATGGAATATTGTTTTCCATCCCTTTACCTTGAGTCTGAATGAGGCCTTGTGGGTTAGATGTGTTTTCTGGAGACAGTAAATATTTGATTTGTATCTTTTTAGCCATTCAGCCCGCCTGTGTCTCTTCAGTGTCCCCCCTTTTTTTATGAACCAGAGAATTCACAACAGAGAGAGTACAAGGGCAACAAATGTGAGAATGCCTCTACCCACAGCTCCTGGAATTCTAGGTAGCAATACATCACTGTTTGCTGTTGCAGAATCCATTTTTATTAGCTATCTACTGCAGTGTAACAAACTGTCCAAAACTTAGTGGCTTGAAACAACAGTATTCATTATCTCACCATTTCTATAGGTCAGAAATCTGCGTGCAACCTAGCTATGTCCTTTGTTTTAGGGTTTCTCAGAAGGCTGACATCAACGTGTCAGCTGAGGGTATAATCACCTAAAGGCTCAACTGGAGAAGGATCTTCTTCTAAGCTCATTCACATAGTTGTTGGCAGTGTTCAGTTCTTTTGGGCTATTGGACTCAGGGTCTCTTTGTTTTGTTGGTCAGAGACTATCTGCACTTCCCCACCATATGGGCCTCTCCAAAATGGCAGCTTGCTTCATCAAAGCTTTAGAGAATACCAACAAGACAAATCAGTCATTTGTAACCTGATCACAGAAGTGAGATCCCATTACCTTTACTATATTCTATTTGTTAGAAGCAAGTCACTTGGTCCAGCCTACAGTCAAGGGGAGAGAATTACACAGAGGCATGAGTACCAAAGGGCATGGGTCACTGGAGCCATGTCAGATGCGGGGTACCACAACACCTATTCTCATTTTTTCTTTTTCTAGGGGACAGAGTCTTGCTCTGTTTCCTGGACTAGAGTGCTGTGGCACCAGCCTAGCTCACAGCAACCTCAAACTCCTGGGCTCGAGCAATTCTCCTGCCTCAGCCTCCCCAATAGCTAGGACTACAAGGCATGCACCACCACGCCTGGCTAATTTTTTTCTATTTTTAGTAGAGACAGGTCTTTCTCTTGTTCAGGCTGGTTTCGAACTCCTGAGCTCAAGTGATCCTCCCACCTTGGCATCCAAGAGTGCTAGGATTACAGACATGAGCCACCTCACCCAGCCCACACCATCTATTCTCTACTAGCTGGCAAGATCCCACAGCGTATATCAAGTCTCGCCCACTATGCTAAGGGAAGGCAGACTATGGTCCCTTTCTCATTCTCTGAAGGGAATCATGTTCAGACTGATCCTTTTGGGGGGGACCCTAATTTTCTTCCTCATTGATGGCTTTAGGTGTGGGTATAACACAGCTCTGGCAAGAACATCTGAGTTGGTATCTTCTGGGGCTTTCCAGGAAAGGTTTCTCTTCTTCATGGACATTTTTTTTTAGTCTACATGTGATACTTGGGAATGATTTGTTCAGTCTCAATCACCCAAACCTGCACCTGCCTGTCTCTCACTGTGAGATAATAAAGCCTTGATGTTTTAAATAAATAAATAAAAATAAATAAATAAATAAATAAATAAATTCAATGACATAAATAGATTGAAAATAAAGGGGTAGGAAAAGATATTCCATGCAAACAGTAAGCAAAAGAGATCTGAAGTGGCTAAACTAGCGTCAAACAAAATAGACATTAAAACAAAAATTGAGATAAAGAAGGATTAACCCTTTACACTTGCTTACTTTTTTCTCTTGCTGCTACCGATACTAACCATGTCGAGTCATACTCGACATCCGAATGCAAAGGGCTAAAGGGTCAATCTATTAAGAAAATATAACAATTATAAATATCTAACATCAGAGCCTAAAATATATGAACCATGAGCTGGGAAAAATAGACAGTTCAATAATAATTGTCAGGGACTTCAATACTCTACTTTCAGTAATAAGTAGAACTGGACAGAAGATAAGCAAATAAACAGAACATTTTAACAATACTATTAACCAACCAAATGGATATTTACAAGATTCAAAATATGTGAATACAACATACTTCTTTATAACCAAAATCAAAGAATAAATCATAAGGAAATTGCAAAGTACTTTGAGATGAATAAAAATGAAAATACGACATACCAAAATTTATGAGATGCAGTGAAATCAGTGCTTCGAGGGAAATTTACAGCTGAAAAATGCTTTCATTAAAAATTAATATCAGGCCGGGCGCGGTGGCTCACGCCTGTAATCCTAGCTCTCTGGGAGGCCGAGGCGGGCGGATTGCTCGAGGTCAGGAGTTCGAAACCAGCCTGAGCAAGAGCGAGACCCCGTCTCTATTATAAATAGAAAGAAATTAATTGGCCAACTAATATGTATACAAAAAATTAGCCAGGCATGGTGGCGAATGCCTGTAGTCCCAGCTACTTGGGAGGCTGAGGCAGGAGGATTGCTTGAGCCAGGAGTTTGAGGTTGCTGTGAGCTAGGCTGACGCCATGGCACTCACTCTAGCCTGGGCAACAAAGCGAGACTCTGTCTCAAAAAAAAAAAATTAACATCAAGAATGGGGAAACATGACAATTAAATGCAATTTGGTACCCTGGATTGGATCTTTGAACACAAAAAGAGAACATTAATGGAAAAACTATGAAATACAAATGAGGTTTGAAGTTTAGTTAATAGTAATGTACTCATGTAAGTTTCTTAGTTTTGACAAATGTACCACAGTAATATAAAACGTTAACAATGGGGAAAACTGGGTGAGGGCTATTTAGGAATTCTCTGTATCACGTTTGCACTTTTCTATAAATCCAAAATCAATTACCAAGTAAAAAGCTTATTTAAAAAAAAAAAGTAAGGTCACCACATCACCAGAATGGCTAAAATAAAACAGATTTAAAAATACCACATTGTGGTAAGGATGCGGAACAACTAGAACTCTCATTCACTGCAGGCTATAATGTAAACTGGTGCAAGCGCTAAAACACACACACACATGACAGTGTGTACCAAAATGAAACATATGTATAACCTTATAAACTCAACAATTTCACTCCTAGGCACATACTCAACCCAAAAGGTGTACATGTCAGGTACTAGAATTTTTGTAACAATACCATTCATAAAAGTCCAATCTAGAAACTACCCAAATGTCCATTAATAATATAATAGATCAATAAAATGTGGTATAGTCATACAATGGAATACTATACAAAAATAAAAATAGTCCACAACTTCAAGCAACAATATGGATAAGTCCCACAAACATAAAATTAAATGAAAAAAGGCCAGGCAAAAATACGTACTGTATGATTTTATTTGTAGAAAATGCAAAAACAGGTACATCTAATATTAGAAGTTGAGATAGTAATTGGCCTTGGTAGAGTGACTAGTGATTGGAAGGTGGAACAAGAGGGAGAGATAGCAATATTCTGTATTTTAATCTGGGTGCTGGTTTTAAGGCTATGTTTTATTTGTGAAAATTCAAGTTGAATATTTAAGATCTGTGTATTTTTCTTAGAAACATTTCAATTAAAAGTTGTTTAAGGTTATTCTTTAATAGATAATCATAGAAATCATTTCATATTTTAAATATGAAATAAATAAACTAGTAAATAAAACTGAATAACTTTATGTAAAAGCCTCTCTAAGCTATAAAATACACTAATTTTCATAATTTTCACAAGATATAGAATATTGTGTATATACATATCAGGATATGAGTGGGACTCCTCCTTTGCCTCTGGAATTTTCAACTGGGACACAAAGCTGGGGGGGAGTGCTAATAATCCATATTTTAAAAAAAGTGACCTATGATTGAGGCTAGATCCTTCTCTAGGACTTATTAAAAAGTGATAGAACAACCCCTATAATCAACAAACACTTTTTTCCTTCCCAGTTATTTTAAGAATATTGTGGCCGGGCGTGGTGGCTCACGTCTGTAATCCTAGCACTCTGGGAGGCCAACGCGCGCGGATTGCTCTAGGTCAGGAGTTCGAAAGCAGCCTGAGCAAGAGCGAGACTCTGTCTCTCCTATAAATAGAAATAAATTAATTAGCCAACTAATATATATAGAAAAAAATTAGCCGGGCATGGTGGCACATGCCTGTAGTCCCAGCCACTCGGGAGGCTGAGGCAGTAAGATTGCTTGTGCCCAGGAGTTTGAGGTTCCTATGAGCTAGGCTGACGCCATGGCACTCACTCTAGCCTGTGCAACAAAGCGAGACTCTGTCTCAAAAAAAAAAAGAATATTGTCAGGGAAAGGCATAAAATATTAGTTTAGAGGGATGGAGACAGGTTGAGATACTTTTTTCTTCAAATCCCAAAATAAGTGAGGCAGGAACTCCAAAAGTATACTTATAAAGACAACTAGGAGTGCCTATAAGAAGGTAAGACTGATCTCACATTCCCTAGTTAAATATTGAACCTGGGCAGCCAATTTGTTTATCTGTCTTTGTATTTAACTAACCAGATGAAAAGGAAATTAAAGAGAAATAAATAGCAGAGAGGAGAAAGGGGTCAAAGTAGACCATTCTGCACTGCCATTTAGCACGGCAAAGTTGTATCAATTCCCCATGGATTAAGTAGGTATGCGTAAGATAGAATTGAACCACCTTGCTAGTGGCAACTGCTCCAAGTAAAGGACTCTATCAGCAAGATGATGTAGGAGTAAACAGCAAAGGGACGTAACTGGGGTGATACTGTAAAATATCAAGTCAGAACCATATTTCCCACACCAGGGACTTAAGCATTGGTAAATGACCAGCAAGTTATAGAATCTGCCTAAGATGCCATTAATTTATGGCAATTTATCTTAGGCATCTTAGGCAGCAAAAAGTAAAACCATTTCATGCTGATACCACAAAAAAGTTGAAACTTTCAAAAAACTAATTTCGTGTGTGTGTGTGTGTGTGCGTGCATGCATGTATGTGTGAGATATCAGATATATGCTAATACCAGAACCTTCTTTTTTTATTAAAAAATTACTATCTTGGAAATTTAGACACCAACCTTTGGTGTAGATAAAGTACTTTTGGAAGATGTCCACAGATAGTCTCTTCTATCTTTGGATTTGCCATGATCAACTGATGTGAAATTTCGAGATATATTTTGTGAAGAAGCTGCTTTAGAATCAAATTTCCGATGACTAGTTTCAGGTGTTTCCAACAAAGATGTCTGTGTTTTCTGCATTGAATAACAAAAGTGAATAAAACCATCATTAAATGTCATTTTAATTATTTATTTCTTTAAAGCACAGCAACTAGTAGAATTAACACTGAAACTAGAATTTACTCTCAAATTCATTACTGATTAGATAAGTCTGAATAAATTGTATTAATCCTCTTTGTCACTTTACTTGCCCATTTAAGATGAGAATGGTATCTCTCCTTCTGTCTTCACAGAGTTGCTACAAAAAGAAATATAATACCTCAAAAGCCTCTATTTGACCAACAGTTAAGGATTCTGTAAAAAAAAACAAATCTCTATTCCTAGTATTAGACTTAATCTGTGGTTTGCTCCAATAGCCTAAAAGCCAGAGGGCAATTTATTTTCATTTTCATTCATTCTCTTTCATGGATTGATATCTCCTCTCTTATCTATAAAAACATTAGCCTTTCCCTATCTACAAGCCTTACTTGCCTCCAAAAACAAAGGGAAAAAATTATGAACATAAAGAATGAGAGATATTTTCAGGAAAAAATTCAGAAAATAGCTATTTGCTTCAATTCTAAAAGTAAACAAATTGCAAATTTACTCTAAATATTTAGACATTATTTCCACTCAAGTCCCTCAGCTCTTTCACTCTACCATTGCATTTAGCTTCTTTAAGCAACCGGTCTACCTTTCTAATAAAAGCTAATAACAGTAGCTTTAGTGGGATCCTACATGAAAACCATGTTGATCACTTTCTATTTTACCCCCTCCTTTGGTGACCACCATCTCCATGAATACAATCAAGGCAATCACTCACATGAAAGCATGGAGCATCAAATAAGGGGGCTTCAAGGACAATACTACAAAAGCATGGAGGCTGAACTTGCAGTAAGTTTAAATTAGGAAGGTATAGGGTATAAGAGGCAATTGTGTGTACTATTAAAAAAACATTAAACTAGAAGCCAAGTACAAAATATGTTCTTTTCTCCTGGATCTTTTACTATCTTGCCAGGTGATTTTTGAGTGAATCTCCAAGTATCTCCAGGTTTAAATTTATCCATATATAAAATCAAGGAGCTAATGAGATGATCTGCAGCTAATGAGATAATTTTGAACTGTGATGGGTCATTTCATAATCCTTTTTCCAACAGGTATTTTTGGTAGCATTTTTTCAGAGTTAAATTTCTGTCTCCTTTTTCTTAAATATTTCTAAATCATAGTTGATGACACAATTTTGATTAAAGCACATTTTTTTTCTGCTCCCTGGATTCATCAGGGGTCACACCCTTGGAACCTCCAAAATGTAACTGCTTTCATGGACAAATTTTTCCTTCCAATAGGCCTGAGAATGGCAACTTAACCTCACTGCACCATCTTGTGGCCATATCTGAGAATTGACATTTCCCTGGTAGCCTAAAAGAAAAATGTTCAAGAATACTGAACTGTTCCTCTTCAGAATACCTGATGGAAACATATGTACTTCCTTACAAGGTATATTTTTTTCTGAATGTTACTTTTCCAGTGATGCATATATTCAGAAAATTCACAATTTTCTCGGTTATGTTTTTTAAACAAACACTTATATGACATTTACTGTGTGTCACACACTATTTTAAATACTTTCAAATATCATTTCATTTAATCCTCAAAACAACTTTAAGGGGTAGCTACTATTATTTATCCCTTTATAGATAAGTTAACTAAGGTATGAGGAAGTTAAGTAACTTGCTTAAACTCAGAAATATTTGGTAAATTTAATGATTATTACTTATAAGTCTTGCATTTCAGTTGTGTTAGAATAAAGTATAGCAAGACCAAAAAAAAGCCTAGTTAAATTTCTTTATTTCATTTTTTCACTTTGTAACATATATATCCAGACCCCCAGATAAAATATATGAAATTTACTAATCTACTTGATAACAGTTACAAATAATGAGAATTATATATGAATCAAAACATCTCTAAAAGAATATGTACTATATACTTTCATAAGATCAACACATTCTATATTTAGAAAAGAATATTACAGATTAACCAACATGCTTATTCATCAGGTACTTCCTTCAGACTATATCTAACCCTGCTGGCTACTTTTATTATGATGATGATAATTTCTCCAAATATAATGCTTTCAAGTGTCTAGCACAGTATCTAGAACATACAAAGCACTCAACATTCACTCACAAGTTCAATATTTCTTTCCTTCTTCTCTTTCTTTGAATCTAAATTTAACAAAATTATAGTACTGTCTATACCTAACAAGGAAACTTTTTCCAGACTATTCTCATTATCATTTTCAGTTTAACTATAATCAGAGCGACTTCTGTGGGGACTTAGGAGACTATATCACTGTGCATCAAGAAAATGCTTAATCATTTTAACTAAAAATTGCTTATTCAAATTCTTCTGCAACAATCCTGTATTATCGAATAGGTTAGAGGCTGAGGAGTACTCTTCCCCATAACTAATGCTTCCTTCCACATCTAGGGAGCACCTTAAGGTAACATTCCTAACCTCTCTCTGCTTCCTTAGGGGAGGAACAATGACTTAATGTGATTGGTGAATTTTGGAAGGAAAGGAGAAATGACACATATAGTTTAGTGCCTTCCTTACTCCTCTTCTTGAGAACCAGCACACATTCATTTTGCTCTACTCCTTTATACCATACAAGAGCAGGCCATCAAATGGGTAAACCTGTCCCTGTCAAGCTCTACCTGTGAAAGAGTAAGTCTGTTTAATTGGGAATTTCAGGAATAAAAGATCCTCTTGCCTTTAAATATAAGCCAAAATTAGTTATCAACAATAAAGATATTATTTTGGTTCTCCTTTGTCTTTCTCAATTGGTTCAGAACTTAAGTGAGGAAAATAGTATGTCATTTATTAAACCCCTTCAAGACCCAAAATTAGACATAAACAAAATTTAAGCTTTAGAATTTTTATGAAAATATTTTGTCTACAACATTGTATATTTTTCAAGAGAGAAACACAGCAGTGCGTAATTTAATACTGCAGTAAGAATTATAAAGAAAGACTGAAATCATCTCCAATTCTCTAAATGACAAATGTTTTTAAATTTTTAGTTAATGCTTTTAAATTAACAGCAAGAAACAATTTAGGGAATGAAATTATATGAAATATTTAAATTGTTATTTACCTACTTATAAACATTTTCTCTAATATGTTACAAAATAAATTGGTTGTAAAGAAAACTGTAAGAATTATATAGTCTTACCTTGTCTTTTTTTTCTTTGTGAGTTACTATGTTTTCTTTTGCCTCTGTTTTGAGTTTTTCCTATTAAAATGAATATCAAGTATATACAACATAATCATTACTATTATTACAAATGAATATTCTTATTATCAAAATCTTTCCTAATAAGTATTAACAAAGAAAGACGACTAACCTCTCAATCTTATAAAATAATAAAAAGAAAAAAGAAAAATAAACTAATTCCTTTCTACAGAGGTGCTATTTGGTTTCAATTTTCTTTTTATTCTAATACATCTCTAATGGGTACCTGTGGAATCTTGAATAAGTCTCTTAAAACTGAATCTCAACTTTCTTATTTATAAAATAAAGTGGATGGACCAGATTTTAGAGTGAGAGATACACACAAGTAACTAAAGTGGGAAGTGTTATAAAGAGATCTAAAACACTATGATCCTTTAAAGGCAGAATCAGCTTTTTCCCTGTATGTTAAGAAAAGGTGCATTTCAGTTGGATTTTTGAATAATGAATAAGCTTTCAACATGAGATAGAGATGAGGAATAAAAAGAAAGAAAAAGCTGAGAAGCAAAAATAATCACATGAACATAGAAAAATACACAATACTTAAGAAATAATACATAAATTTTGCTGAAGAATAGGGTTTGTGTATAGAAGTAGCCAAGATAAAAATAGAAAAGAGAGTTATGGTCAGAATGGAAAGTGTAATATGCTAATCTATAAAATTTTTCAGTAGGAAAAAAGAAAACTGAAGCCTGGCCTACAGAAATGAATATGTAGCAGGCCTATGATATGACAACCATCTGAAGAACGGAACTGTTTACAGCCCCAGGAAGCTTTAAAGGTCTCAGAGAAGGGAAAGTTTCCCAGTGTGCAGAACTTTAGGCAATAAAGCTTGCCTTGTCTGCCCATGATACTTTTGCTAATATTTATTGTCACTGAATGCCTTGTACACACCCTGTTATCTCTCCCACAGTATGGCTCCTAACCAGAGAAATCACTTCACCATGAAAGAAGTAGGTGATAAGCTGATGTAATAGTATTAATCATTATTATGCATCCTATCACCCCCACCAATGGTTGCTCTTCAGTTATAGTGACAGTTGGGGTCTACTTTAAGGGGCTATAATACTGTCTTCTAGAAAAAAGTATATTCTATAAACTATCAATATTTCACTGACTCTCATATTCAGTATTCAGTTAGAATACATATCTTGGCTTCTAGAGGATAAAAGGAAGAAAGTACCTCCCACAAATGCACTGTCTCTACAATCCTGACTTTGCTGGTCTGAAGATTTTAGTACAATCTGTTCTGTACTAGGTATGCAGTATGAATTTTCAAAGTATGAATTACCTTATACATAAACATGTATCTTTGATAGTGGCTAAATGACTGTGGGTTCCCTAAGACCAAAAAGAGATGGGCAGCCTACTGAGGTCCATATTTAATCTGAATAAGTAAAATATGCCTATAATATGGCCTGGCAATTAGAGGATTGACTTGAGCCACCAAAGTAGAGAATGACAGCCTTGTGATCAAATTTCAGACCTAGACAGATTTACCAGCCTAGAGTCCTCTGAACAAAAAAGAAACCTGGTACTCTTGTGGAAAGTTTCTACAATATATCACAAACACATACTGCATCCTTCCTACTATTTTGTCCGCTAAGGATGAAAATATTAAGATATGGGTAATTGGGCATTGACTAATATCAATTTTTGAGGATCCACAATGTTACTATTTTCTCTTTAGTCACAGTGCAAGCAAATCAGTATTGGGTGATAAATGTAATTTAATCTGAGTACACTTCATGGTGAGCCCATGGAACCATAAACCTATCTTGTGGTCATTTGTTTTGATACTGAATATATAGTTTGAATAGATAAATTCAGTAAGAGGAATAATCCTCAATTTGGCTCTCACCAGGATGAGAGATTTTAATGTTGGAAGGACCAACTGGAAGACTTTGAAACTCTCCCTCCACATCAAGATAGTAAAGAAACAAATTTCAAATCACTAGGCAGAGATTAAGGACCCCCAAAACTAAAAAATATGTTAAAAAGGTGATTTATCAAAATCCTATGAAGTGAGTCTATTGTAATCGGAAGTTAATACTGTCATCTAGTAACAGTTTCCTCATGCCAGTGGACTTATAGGTAAAAATGGGGATTGTCATAATTGGATCTAATTGACATCTATAGAACACTCTATCCAATAATAACATAGTATACATTTGTTTCAAGTACCCATGGATCATTCAAAAAGACAGACCATATCTTGGACCATAAAACAAACCTCAACTAATTTGAAAGAATAAAATCATACAGAATGTACTCTCTGACCATAATGGAATGAAATTAGAAATCAGTAACAAAATAATGGAAAAAAACTCTGAATACAAGAAAATTCTAAAAATACTTCTAAATAATCCATTAGTCAAAGAAGAAGTCTCAAAGAAAATTAAAATTACATAGAAATGAATGAAAACAACAACATAACATATCAAAACATGTAGAATGCAACTAAAGTAGTGCCTCTATCCTCTAGAAGACAAGGGAGAAATTCATAGTTCCTTCACTCTGGAGAATGCAGCAAGTAAGCCTTCACCAGATGCCAGAGCCTTTATCTTGGAATTACCAGTCTCCAGAACTATTAGAAAAATAAATTTTTGTTCTTTATAAATTACTACATCTCAGGCATCTGTTATAGCAACACAAATGGACTAAGACACCTGACAAAGGACTAGTAACTAGAATATATAAAGAATTCTCAAAATTCAACAGTAAAAAAATCTAAGAAAATGGGTAAAAGATATGAACAGACATTTCATAGAATAGGATATGCAGATGACAAATAAGTACTTGAAAAGATGTTTAACATCAGAGAAATGCAAATTAAGACCACAATGAAATATCACTACAAACTTATCAGAATAACTAAAATAAAAAATAGCAAGTTGTGGCTGGCAAGAATGTAGAGAAATTGGATCACTTAGATTAATACATTGCCAATGGGAATATATTGATAAAATGGTACCACCACTTTAGAAAACAGTTATAAAATTAAAACACAACAATCATACAACTTAGCAATTATACTATTAAGCAGTTATTCAGAGAAATGAAAACTTATGTTCACACCAAAACCTGTACACAGATGTTCACAGCACCTTTATTTAAAATAACTCAAAACTGGAAACAGACTTGAGCAAGATGGCAGACCAGAGATACCACTAGCCAGAGTGTCTCAGTAAGGAGAAGTTTTAGGTAAAAGAGAAAAACAGACAAACAGATCAGATGAGGGTCTGAAGGAAGGGTGCCAGAACCTATAGGAGACTCCACAGGAAGAGGTTACAAAGCAGAACTGGGAAGAGAAAGGTAATAGTGGGGATTATCCCCAAGAGGCTTAGAGATGAGTGAGAAGAGTAGGTGGAGTGGTTAGTTTCTTCCTCCCTCGAATCTTAGACTGTTGGTGGGCTCCCAAGCTGCTGGAGAAACATTCTGCCTACATGAGCCCAGAGACTGCTGCCACCAATGAGCTGGTACCTCCATATGGATAGGGCATCAGGATCTGAGCCCCCTCAGGGAGCCTGCCATCACACAGACCCGAGCCAGACAACAGGTACCATATTGCTTCTCTACACAGCTTGTTTATTCCCCAACAGACATTTCCCAACTCCAGCCCAGACTGCAGGAGCCACGAGGGTCCAGTGGGTCCCAGGTGATCTGTGTGACTCCAGACCGCAGTCATTCTGGGAGGACTTCTTACCAATGAGAGGGTCAGAAGTGACCAGAGTGTGGACTTTCCTCCACCTCGTCTATTTTTCTCCCCTACCTTTTCTCCACCCACAGCTGCCAAGAGAGATAATTGAGCCACCACACAGAGGCTTCCATAGGGAGTCGGGCTCAGAATTTTCCTTTTGGGGTACTGCAGCAGACTGAGGGGTGCTTGGACTGTGAGCTCCTTGCCTGATAGTTCTCCCTAGTGCTGCTTGCCTGACGGCCCCCATCAGAGCAGGGCACACCCAGAGGTGGAGGGACATTGAACCAGATTCAGCACCCCATAAGTGGCTCAGGACAAGCATGCTTCTCCCTGACATGATCAGAGATTGATCTCCCGGGCCCTGGGGATGGGCTGGCAGGCCAGATCCCATATCCCCGGTCTCAATCACATTGCCTGGGGTCACAGAGGAAATATTTGTGAATTAGTCTTGGGAGGTGTGGGTATCCACAGGAAATCAGGGAGTAGAGTGCAGTGTGGGTCATAGCTGTGATGTACTCATGGGGTGCACCTCCTCCCACAGGAGGGCCATCTTCCCACCTCAGGCCACGATCCTTAGCAGGGAACCTCCTGGCCTGTATTACTGTTGTAGGGGAACTTGGCTAGCTTGAGGTTCTGCCTTCTGGCCAAGGCCCAGGGAAAACTGCAGAAAAGGGGAGGGTGAAAGGAGTGAGGCCTGCTCTAGACTGCCAGACTGTGGGTCTCAGACAGCTCCGACTCCATGTGGTGGCTCTTAAAGCTTCCTCTCAAAAATGCGACTTTTGCTAACATTCCATTGGTTAAAACAAATCATTTGGCCAAATCTGAAGTCAATGAGGTGGAAATACATAAGTCTCCCTTTGGGAGGGACCCCACAGAAATAGAGTATATATTTTTTGAATGATACAAAATATAACAAGTCAAACTTTTTCACTACATCTACATACAGGCATATTTGTATGTGTGCATGTACGTGTGTATATATAATATATACATTCATAGATAAATGATAACAAAGAAACATATACAATGTAAACAGTGACCCTGAATTATTCTTGATATACAAATAAAAAAGAAGCCATTAAATTTGTCAATAAGGATTTCAATGTAATCCAAGTTAAAAAGTAGTTAGAGCAATAGTTAAATTCTAATAGGTGAGAAGATGAGAGTTGAAAAAGTAGATAGTATTATAGGCTATGCTTTCTAAAAGTTTGATGCTTAAAAAAAGAACAGAGATAGTATAGTAGTTTGGGGAGCAGGTAAATGTTTTAAGACTTTTTAAAGATGATACAAAAGTCTTATTCGTGTTTATTGGCTAAAGAATAAAAATTAAAGATTGCTGAGGGTTTACTAATATGAAATGTTAAGCCATAGAAGAATTCCTCTTCTACTGAAAAAATAGGATAAGCATAAATGTTACTACTGCAGGTGAAGGGAAAGCAATTTAGTCATTCCTTTAACAAATATTTATTGAAAATATAAAAATTTCAAAGCCCTGTACTCAGATAAAAAGAAAACAAAGAAAAATAAGATACAATCCTAGCCCATGAAGAGCTTGCAATGTAATAGGGAACATGGTGTGAAATACTACTTTAATGTAAGAACAAAATGCTATGAGAATGCACATATACAGTAAGCTCACATGGGCGAGATAAAAGATATGTGAGATTTTCCATAGATGGAGAAGAATTAAATGCAGGAAACAAAGTAAACAAATGATCAGAGACTTGAAATTGAAAATGTATGTTATCTAGGCTATTACAGAGTAATTAAGAGAAAGGTTTGAAGCCATGCAAAATAGAGCTAGATTTGAATTCCAGCCATTCTACTTTCTGTGTGATCTTCAATAAATAACCTAACCACTGTAAAAATAAAGATAATAATAAATAACATTGTCTTGTAACTGCAGAACCAGCCCAATCTGGTTCAACTTTGTGTAATAAAATGGTGAGTTGTTTTTTGGATGTCATGGACCGCAAGGTTGCAAGTTACATAACCTGAATATGCCCAAATGAACCAACCACGTATCCAATCATGGGTGGAACCTAAGTGCTCACACCAAGGAATGGGGATGAATTAAGAAGTGGACACCACATGGCATGGTCCATGATCAACTTAAATTAAGTCTTGGCATTACCCCATGGCATTATCCAGTCAGGTCACACCTCTTAGCATTACCTCATTGCAAGATCCAATGAGATCATACTTCATTACATTCTGCCTATAAAACCTACCCTAGTCCCCAGCTTGGGAAGACAGATTTGAGCATTGTCTCCTGTCTCCTTTACAGCAGACTCACAATCAACCCTATCTTTTTTCAAAAGCTGGTGCCAGGGGGTTGACTTCTACACATATCAAGCAGTGAGCCCATTGATTGGTTGGTAACATAAGAATACAATTAGATGTAGGTAGGGTATTTAACACAATGCGTATCATAGAGAAAGCCAAAAAAATGATATTTATCATTTTAAATTGTGAATCAATTCACTTTGTAAACTGCAGAACACTATACAGATAGCGATTTTTCCTGAAACATGATGAAAAGCTTTTAAAAAGCTAAATATATAACAATTTTTAACATGAGATAATATTTCTCAAATATAATCTATTTAAAACCATTCATATTCGTAAAAGTATGCTTATATTTACATATGATTAGCATTTAAATGAGGGACTATTCTAAATACTTCTAGAAAAAAGCTAACAGGGAAAAACTATATTTTCTCACCCCTGGATACTAAAATTTATCAAATTATTTTCTAATATGATATTTATAAAAATGCAAAGTTATATCTAAATCTTGCAATAATTTTATCTATAATGCCACAAAACCTACTTTTTCTTCTCTTTCTATTTCAAGTTGCTTCTTAACAGACAAAAGTTCATTTTCAAGATTAGATAGTTCAATTTCCTAGAGAAAAAGAAACATGAAGTTTGTAAGTGCTATCAAGACAATGAAAATGTAAATGGTTTAGTAAATTCAGTTTTGTAGAGGAATAAATTCATTGTACTTTAAAAGTCTACTGAGATAAATAGTGTCAGTTTAACATAACTAAAGACTTTCATTTAAACAAGTATTTATAATTTTCTCTTAAGAAAGATTTAACACTATGTGTATCTCTCCTACTCTCCCAATTTATGCCATCCTCTTCGCCCAATCTCCATCAGAGTGCCAAACTTGTTAAATGGAGTTTATAACATTTCATGTGAAAAAGGAGGTTGTTCCACTATTTCAAAAATTAACTTGGAAAAACACTTAACTATTAATAGAAGATCTATAAGATCCCTTTCAGATTTAAGACTCTGATTCTGTAGCCCAAAAATTATAGTTTTCCTTAATGTTATTTTTACCACCAGCCATGCTGTCAATATAAAAATTGGCTTTTACTGCTGTCTGTTCTGTATCTTACCAAAGATGCTTTCACTGATAACTGTTCTTGTTCTCTGCTCTTATAAAGTCCTAATTCTGAGTCTCTTTCTTCAACAATCTTATCATATTGGTGCTATATTAAACAAAGAAAACATTTTATGTACATTAAAACTGAATGGATGTTTTAATAAGATTGGTATTCTAACATATTTAACATTTTACAGAAAATGATGTTTATAAATTCAGCAATATATACCTTTGAGTATATATTTTTTAAACTTTTTTCAATTATACTCTTTCATTCAAACAACCTAAACAGTAAAACACTTGTTCCAAGACAACAGTCTTAGAAATAAGAATAAGAATATATAACACTAGAGCAAGAAATAACTCTTTTTAATTGGAAACACTAAATTTTATCATTTAAAAAAACATTCTAGAAATACCAAGTCTTATAGAAAAGTGGCTAATTCCAAATCTGCTACACAAAATACAAGATAAGCCTTGAATATTTTGTCTAACAAAAAGAAAGTTATTCTCTTAGTCTATTTAATTGGAGACTATTAGTGTCAAGTCAAAACCCCACTAGCCAAAGGTGGGAATATTTGAGTTATCAATAATGACAAAAGCTATAATGGATTGAAATGTACCTAATTTGTTTAAATCTATGAGTTCACAACGTTATTTCAATTATTTGTTTAAATCCTCACTGGTTACCTCATAATGATATCATAGTCCAGCAGCAATTTTTAAAAATGAATAGGTAGATATATCCTACCTCCTCTTGAAATCTTAAGGGGAATGAGGCTTAATTCCCTAACAGAAAGATTACTCTAGAATAACAATTAAAAAATAAAGGATACTCACACATACAAAAAACATTAAGATTTTCATCAGTTTATTCCTTTGATAAAAAATTATTTAGCCTAGTATATGTTAGATAATGTAGAAGATACAAATATTAATGAGATACATATTCTACATATGTACTTAAATAAATGTAAGGTGGAAAGTGCTATCAGAGACTACTAGGAGAATCCAGAAAAAGTGATTACTTCCATCCAACACAGATGATTAGGAGCTATTTCCTCAGGGAAATGACATTCAAGCTCAGCTTTGTATGGTTAAGATCTGAATTTGGATTCAAAACCAGCCTGAGTAAGAGTGAGACCCCGTCTCTACAATAAAAATAGAAATAAATTTATCGGCCAACTAAAAATATATAGAAAAAATTAGCTGGGCATGGTGGTGCATGCCTGTAGTCCCACCTACTCAGGAGGCTGAGGCAGGAGGATCGCCTGAGCCCAGGAGTTTAAGGTTGCTGTGAGCTAGGCTGATGCCATGGCACTCTAACCAGGGCAACAGAGTAAGACTCTGCCTCAAAAAAAAAAAAAAAAAAACCATCTGAACTTGGAGAAATGGGGGATCAAAAGTATTCCAGCTATAGCGATTGTTGTACAGACAATAATTTTCTCTTACAAATCACAATACTATCATGAATTCACCAATTCTTAACAGAAATATGACTCCAATTAATAATTTTTATTATATAAAAAGGAAAAATTACCTTATGTTTTTCCATAAGTGCTACCATTTCAGCTATTTTATGTTGACATCGTATATCAATTTCTTTCTGTAATTTTACTGCTTCATCAGCTATTACTTTTGCTTTCTCAACCTATCAAAATGTTTCTTAAAATTAATGCACAAAAAACAAATTTAACTTAAATGCAAAGAGCATATGCTCTGCTTATATAAAATGCAAAGCTTGAACACCAGGAAATTATAAAAACCAAGTAAAAAAATGTACTATTATTCTGGCTTCTTTTAGTATGTTCTATCAAGTGAGATGACAGTACAATACTGTGATGATCAATTAATCCTTTCAAAATAATTGTATATTACTCAATACTCAAATACTTAGAATACAAGGATTTTTACTTCTATAGAAATTGATAACTGTCCCTAATATAAATTTATTAAACTTTCTTAAAAATCATAATTGAAAAATTAAGATTACTTTTTTCTTAAATGCTAATAAATACAAAATTTTAGTATAATTCTTAAAACATTTAGTTTTTCCCACCTCTCCCAAAAGATTTTCTTCTGATATCTTTTTGTCCTCAATTTCTTTTTGATAGCTCTCAGTCATTTCTTCAAATTTTTGTTTGGCACTTTCTACTTCTAATTCTAACTTACGGACCTTTAAGTAAAGAAAATAGCATGAATATTAGTAAAGGCTGTGGATTACTTAAAAATATTCCATATTCATTTTGTGGTTTTGTGAATCTTAAAGGATTACTTAATCATGGAAATTATGGTTGGATCATTTTCCTTACCTTTTTCATATACTGAGATGTGCTTTATTTTTCACAAAATCTACCTTATTCCCTAAAATATATATTTTGACTTGACAAGTAATATAAAATAAGTAGCCATATACTTATTTGTAATGAATTTCTCAATATTTACATTGGTTAGTTTCAGCTCTGTATGTTTTATTACAATAACTATTCCAATTGAAGAGAAAACCCATGTGATTCAAATAAAAAAAGCATATTCTTAATGAGATTAATTTTCTGTAAAGAAGCAACATCTTCAATTTCTATTATATATGTTGTATAAATATTTACTGTAATATAGATATGCCTCAAATATAGCAATTATCAAGAGAGAAGGAGGGCCCTGAATTAACACCCACCCTCCAGATTCACTTTTACCTTAGAGCTAAAATAGAATTGAGGAGGAATATATATAGCAGGGATAGGAATTGGGAAGTAAGGGGTGGATAATTTAACAATGAATCAGGCTGTATCTATGAGTTCTGTATCTATGAGTTAACTAACAACTTTAAAATATAATATAGACCATTATCAATATTGATAAAGGCTTCTGAGTGTCCCTTTTCATTAGTTCTCCCCTACTGCTCCTTCAAATGTAACAAATATTCTTAATTTAATATTATTCCCTTGCTCTTCTTTACAGCTTTATTATATAATTATATATCCCTAAACAATATTTCAGAGTTTCTTTTTGAATTTCATACAAATGTTTTCACAGTACATATACTGTTCTGTTTTTCTTTTTTCATTCCACAGTATGTTCTAGATATTTATGTGTGTAAATATAGCTCATTCATTTTCACTGTTGAGTACTAGTCCATTATATAAATATACCATGGTTTATGTATTCAGTTGTTCACAGACAATTATTTCTGGTTTGCGGTTAATAAACACAATATTTCTGTGAATGTTCTTATAAACATCTCCTGGTGCAAATGTATAGAATTTCTTTATAGTATATACCTAGGAAATGCTGGGTCACAGGGCAAGCTGCATATTCAATTTAACAAGATAATGACATTACTTTCCATAGTACAGGTATCAATTTATATTCCCAGCAACACTGTTAGGACTTTAGCCTGCTTCCCAACCTTACCAAGAGCTAGCTGATACTGTCAGACAAAACTATTTGAAGTTTTGTCATTTAATTTGCATTTTTCACAAAACTTTATATTTGGTGTTGGCACTTTAACTAAGATACCCTGCCTGGGTATGGTTTTCTGTCTATTTATGTTGCTTTGGATTTGCTGAGAGCCATGGACATGCGAGTTTATGGTTTTTATTAAATTTGAGAAATTCCTCAGATAATTTTCTTTTTCCTTAGTCTCTCTGTCTTCTGTTCTTGAGGGACTCCAATTATACATTTAAAACTACTTGATATAGGCATGAAATCTTAAGAATTCTGGAAGAAAATGTGGGGAACACTCTTTTAGACATCGGCCTCGGTAAAGAATTTATGAAGAAGACTCCCAAAGCAATCACAGCAGCAACAAAAATAAACAAATGGGACCTGATCAAACTAAAAAGCTCTGCACAGCCAAGGAAACTGTCCTTAGAGCAAACAGACAACCTACAGAATGGGAGAAAAATATTTGCTTTCTACACATCTGATAAAGGGCTGATAACAAGAATCTATATAGAACTTAAGAAAATCAACAAGAAAAAAATCAAACAACCCCATCAATAAATGTGCAAAAGACATGAACAAAAACCTTTCAAAAGAAGATAGAATTATGGACAGCAAACATATAAAAAGTGCTCAACATCTGTAATCATAAGGGAACTGCAAATCAAAACTACATTTGAGATATCCTAATGAGATATCACCTAACTTCAGTGAGAATGGCCTTTATTAAAAAGTCCCAAAATAACAAATGCTGGCATGGATGTGGAGAGATCGGAATGCTCTAACACTGCTGGTGAGACTGCAAATTAGTATAACCGCTGTAGGAAAGTAATCTGGAGATACCTCAAAGAGCTAAAAATAGAAATATTATTTGATCCAGCAATCCCACTACTAAGCTTCTATCCAAAGGAAAAAAGACATTCTATGATAAAGACATCTGCACTCAAATGTTTATAGCAGCACAATTCACAACTGCAAAGATGTAGAAACAACCCAAGTGCCCATCAATACATGAGTGGATTAATAAAATGTGGTATATGTATACCATGGAATACTACTCAACTACAAAAAACAATGGTGATCTTGCACCTCCTATATTATCCTAGATAGAGATTGAGCCCATCCTTGGAAGTGAGATATCACAAGGATGAAAAACATGCACCACATGTACTCACCATCAAACTGGTACTAATTGATCAACATTAAGGTACTCACATGGTAGTAATACTCACTGGATATCGGTCAGGTTGGGGGATGGGGGCTAGAGCGAGTATAGTGAGTAAAACCACAGCTAATGGAGAGGGGGCACACTGTATGGGGGAAGGACACGCTTGTGGCCCTGGCTTGAGCAAGGCAAATGCATTTCATGTAACCAAACTGTTTGTACCCCCATAATATCCTGAATGAATGAATGAATAAATAAAGCTATAATGAGATATTATCTTTAAATAAATAAGTAAATAAAACCACTTGCTATTATTTTATAGGCCACTGCGGTACTATTCCATTTTTTTTCTTTTAATCTTCTTCTGTGTTTCTCTAACTAGATAATTTCTATCAATCTAGCTTCAAGTTCACTGACACTTAATTCATTTGTCTTCAATCTACTATTAAGACCATACATAGGTTTTTTTTTGTTTGTTTGTTCATTTGTTTTTACAGATATTTTACTTTTCAGTTCTAGATCTTCCATTTGATTCTTTTTATGATTTCCATTTCTTCACGAGATGCTCCATCTGGTCTTTCATTATGACCATATTTCCCTTTTTGTCTTTGAACATGCTTATAATAACTGCATAAATGACTTTATCTGCTAATTCTAACATTTAAGTTATCTTGGTGTCATCTTTTTTTCTTTCCCCCATCTTTTTTAGAAATGGTATCTCACCCATTGCCCAGGCTGGTCTTCAACTCCTGAGCTCAAGTAATCCTCCCACCTCAGACTCCCATGCAGCTGTGGGGAACCTGCGGCCTTAAGCCCACATGTAGCCCTCTAGATCCCTGAGTGCAGTCCCTTGACCGAATCCAAATTTCACAGAACCAATCCCTTTTAATAAACATTTAGTTTATTATAATAAAGGGATTGGTTCTGTGAAATTTGGATTCAGTCAAAAGGCAGCACTCAAGGATCTAGAAGGCCACACATGGACCCAAGGCCACAGGTTCTCCATCCCTCAGCTTGGTGTTATTTTTTATTGACTGATTTTTATACTATTGATGGAAATCTGAGTTGTCTTCAATTTGGGACTACTACAAATAATGCTGGTAAGAATAATTTTTTACATTTCTCCTGACTCTACCTAGGAGTTCTGAATTATAGGATATATGTATCAGCTACTCTTTTTTTATGATTATATTTATTTATTTTATTTCAGAGTATTACAGGGGTAGAAGCGCTTTGGTTACACAAATTGCCTTTGCATGGCCTGAGTCAGCATGCACCACACCCATTAAGTGTGAATTTACCCATTCCCTCCTCCCCCCTCACACCTGCCCGACACCCTATGGATGTTACTTCTAATATGTGCACATTAGTGTTGATAGGTTAGTACCAATTAAATGGTGAGTACATGAGGTGTTTGTTTTTCCATTCTTGTGATACTTCACTTAGAGAATGGGCTCCAGCTCCATTCAGGATAATACATTAGATAGTTCACTATTTTTATGGCTGAATAGTACTCCATGGTATACATATACATTTTATTAATCCATTCATGTACTGATGGGCACTTTGGTTGTTTCCACATCTTTGCAGTTGTGAATTGTGCTGCTATAAACATTCAAGTGTAGATGTCTTTTTTTAATAGAATGTCTTTTTTTCTTTTGAGTAGATACCCAATAGTGGGATTTCTGGATCAAATGGTGGTTCTCTTTTTAGTTCTTGAGGTATCTTCATACTATTTTCCATACAGGTTGTACTGGTTTGCAGTCCCACCAGCAGTGCATAAGTGTTCCTATCTCTCTGCATCCATGCCCACATTTGTTGTTTTGGGACTTTTGATGTTAATAAAAGCCATTCTCACTGAAGTTAAGTGATATCTCATTGTAGTTTTAATTTGTATTTCCCTGATTAGAGATATTAAGCATTTTTTCATATGTTTGTTGGCCATTAGTCTATTTTCTTTTGAAAAGTTTCTGTTCATGTCCTTTGCCTACTTTTTAATGGGGTTGCTTTTTTTTGTTGCTGATCTTATATATAATGTCAACAGTTCATAAGAATTCTTATCTGTCTTAACTTTTAATCACATTTATGTATTTTTTGTTTCAAATAGTATTAAGGGAAGGTATAAGATTTTTATGTTTCCCCACAGGAGAGCACATACTCAATACACTGAGAACCACTGCTTTCTATTCAGGATTCAAAAATTATATCTTGAGTACCTACTAAGTATCAGTCATTGTTCAAAGACTTAGGAATAAGATGACAAAATATAGCTCTGACATCATGAGCTTACATTCTAAGGCTTTAATTTGTTTTCTACAAATGGATAGTTCTCAATCCCCTTGTGCAGCAGTATAATTATATATAGAACTTTTAAAAAATGTAGATTCCAAGGCCCCACCTCAAACTTACTTAATCTCACTTTTAAATATGGGAGGTAAGGAATATGAGTACACACAGAGCATATGCATGCACATATATTTTTAAGCTACTTAGGTGATTCTAATCCAGTTAAACTACAGGTGAGCACTCTATTACAATTAACAGGATTGATCTTCTCAATCTAAAAAGATTTGAAATTTGTTTAAATAAATGGTATAAAATTTCTAAATTCTCATATATTAGCTAGTATTAAAAAAAAATGAATCTGCCAAATACCTTTATCTCATAAGCATTCAGTTGCTTGCTTTCTGCTGTACCTTTTTTTTTCAAGGCCTTATTCTGTTAAAAGTTAAAATAAATAATTATATTTAGTAATAAAGTGAATCACACACTACCACTGACTTAGATCTAAATTACTAATGGAATGGAAAGAATTATTCTCTAAAACTATCATGAAAACACAAGTTTGATTTTGAGAATATTTATAAACAGTACATACCTCCTGCTGAAGTTCTTCAATATACTTGCTTTTATTTTCAACTTGTTTCTTTAAATTGTTACACTAAAAATCATTAGAAATTATAATTATTTTATTCAGTATTATAGTCAAAATAAACAATTTCAGACTAATAAAAAAGTATTGATAATGATCACTTTGAAAATCATGTTATTAAATAGTTCTATTAATATAAAATTATGTAAATATTATAAATTTTAATAATGTAAAATTCTTAACATTTCTTAATCTATCTAAAGGACATATGAATTTAACTACTTTAAGTAAAATGTGCCTCTTGGTCAAGCCTATACAGAAAGCTGAATCCTATTACTAATTAGATTTGTGAAAAGCAGAAACCAGACATAAGAAAAACCACAATTTGTCTTCTTCCTTATTCATTGTTACCCATTTCTCATTTCTGAGATTTCTTTTACTTATTATATTTTGGAAAAGGAATAATATGATACTTTATTCAATCCCTCTTATTGAAATAGCAGTTAAACCACTTTTTGACATCTCACTTTGCAGCACTATTTCATCTGGGTACACATGCAGAACTGGATTAAGAGATATTAGCTCAAGAAATATTTGGAATACCATAAAAGTACAGATTTCCAAAGGGCCTTAAAACATCACAGATATGCATATTGTTTTAATTTCCATCAATGTAGAAAGAAGCCTCAATGGAAAAATGTTTAAATCTCCCTCATTAGCACAAAATATTCTTAAATACGTTTCTTGAAATAATCACATGCAGTTATAGTCAGCTACCATTCTGAAACTGAATAATATATTATACTGCCATTTACAAGCAATTTATTTTATCTAAAGTTTTATATGCCCCATGCCCACAAATGGTCTTCCTTCAAAAAATTCAAAAGAAAACTAAGGAAAAAAAGCTGTAGAAAAGTGAGAAACATTTCACTGATTTTCACACCAATTTGACTGGTATAAACATATTAGCAGTTGAAATGTTTTATATATAATTTTTATTTATTTAAAAAATATTTGCCAGAAAAGCCACCTAGATCCTCAGAATGACCTTCCTGATAAAAATTTTAAAATAAATATCTAGAAAGTAATAAATCTGGTTATTTTAAATTATTACTTTAAAGTGATTATAGGTTTCAGGCTAGTACCAAAGCCAGTACTTGCCTTAAAGGTAATATGTTATACTCACCGCATGAGACAAAACTTAGGGCACACTGAAAGTAGGAAATCCAGTAAGACAACCCTGCATTAAGCCAGGAAGTTGCAGAACTACTTACTTAGTGAAAGAATAAACAAGAAATAAATCTGCCACATGGAAGGGTACAGTAAGGAAACTTGTCTGTCTTTACCTTGGCACTGAGTAAAGGGGAAAAAATCTTTCCTAAACATTTATAACCATGAGGTGGTCTTATATGGGTTCATACTGAATTCATGCTATGAATGTGCTATGTGTATGGTCCAGAAAAACTTCAAATAGACAATATAATTTAAAATGGTCTCTGGTTAGTAATGCTCCCAAGAAAATCTTTTTGGGAGGATACTATCTTCAACACAAGTCTCAAAGAATTCCCACAGACAAAGTTCCAATGAATCATAAATACCCCAAAAATAAGGCTCAATGAGTAGAAGACAGAAGAAAAAAGAGAGCAGAATCAGATCTGAAAAGATTTCAGATATTGGAATTATCAGATACAGAATATAAAATAAATATATTTACTATGTTTAAAAGAATTAATGACTTGAAACTATGAACAAAAAACAGGAGACCATAAAAGACACTGAGCAGATTTTTAAAAGAACAAATTAGAACTTCTAGCAATAAAAAATTTAATTGAACTTTAAAATTCAATAGACAGGAAAATTAGTTACTTCTTGGCCTCACCAAATAAATGTTGGAAAAATTTAAATAATATCAGTTTAAAGCATCATCACATTATTACTTTTCTGGATGAAGCACATGTTGCATGTATTTCTTAGTCCTCCATTCTTCAGGCCATCAAAACCTATTCCTGGCAGAGTTAATGTTGATGCCCATACTTCTCACCTGCTCAGCTTTTCCTAAAAATCCATCTTTATAATTGGCATTACTATACATTCCAAAAGAAGTGAATATTTATACTAAAATCATAATTATATGAGAGCTACCAACTGTGGATGTTGTTTTGACTGCCCAACTCAACCCAACAATCCCACTCTCCCTTCTTTCTGTATAAGCTAATGAAAATTAAAGTAAGGTCAGTTTTCACCCCTTTTAAATTTAAATAATCTTCATACCTGCAGCTACTTAAGATTATGTGGTCTTTATAAAAATAGTTCTTTATTTTTAAATATTTAAAATAAATTTTAGAATGTGTACAAATTCTTGAAAATGTTTTCAACTATTACAATTAATATTTAAGCAAAATTCATGTGTACAGAAATGAAGATTTTTATTTACCAGAATTCTCAGGTAGAAGAAAATGATATGAATTATTACATGTCAGAATTTCAGAAAGTGAACTACTCTTTCCAGAAGACTATTTAGGATAGGGAAGGTTAAGTTTAGGATAAATGTGTGGTGAGGTGCAAAGAAGGTACACAGAAAAAAGAAGTGAATTGGGATGGGCATCCAGGCAATAAAAACAATTCCCTCAAAGAGCAGAAATTTTTCTGCAGTTGTCTTGATCATAGCAATGGGAGAAATGTCTAAGGATGATTTCTAAAAGTATCTTACCACTCTAAGTATCTCCACAATAAATATAAGAGGAGTTTGATGAAACTTTGCTCTTTGAGGCACTATGTATTAATAGAACCCATGAATCCAGAGCCTCTTCAAGGAAACCTGCAATACAAATCCTATTGCAGGTTATCTCTGAAAACTTCCAAAAAAGAATTGAGATTTCTTTGTATAGGACAAAATAAAGGCTGGCCCTAAAGAATCCAGTCATGCATATATTGTTACAAAGTCTCTATTCGCAAATATTTTTTACAATTTGATAGTACCTTGTTTTCTAGGATCTTCATTTGTTTATCTTTTTTCAGAACTTCACATTCAATGCTTCGAGCCTAAAAAATATTAATACAGATTAAAAATGTTCACAGAATTTCTATTTTCTTCTGTATCTTTTAGAAATGGAGTTATAAAACTTAGTCTTATATTTATACAAAAATAGTTATCAGTTTTTCCAGTTTATTTCAATATCCTTTTTTAAAAAGAAATAACCTTTGTATGCAAGGTGATAGGTCTGTTAACTAGTTTGATTAATCATTTTACAATTTATATTAATCCTTGTATCAAACATCACTTTGTATACCAAAAATATATGTAATTTTTGTCAATTAAAAAGTCATTCTTGTGATAATGTTTATATGTTAATGTTCATCATTCTTATCTTTATAATATTTTATCAGCTTTCCAAGCTTATCCTGAATTTTTTAACTGTCTTGTATATAAATGTTTATAATCTTTCAATTATAACTTTAATAACATGTTAATCTGAACTATGCAACAACCCAATGAGATAGAAATGACAGGTATTATTATCTCCATTTTAGAGAGGAGGAAACTAAGGCTTAGATAGGTAAAGTATGTCTAAAATAATAAATGTCTGAACTAAGGCAGTAGTTTTGGGAAAAAAGAGTGTAATAAAATTCAGTGTCAGACAACACATCTGAGAGATTTTGCCACTTGGATTCTTTCTGGGAGATTGTTTCAATAGGTAAGTAGAAATCTAACCATGGAAAGTTTAAATATGCTAACAGTCTGTCATGCATTTCATTTTTTTCTCAACTAATATTTTTTATATTAGCAAAATAAATTATGCTTTAAATTCTTAATGGAGGGTTTTGATTTTATTTTAAACATCAAATTTATGTTTTTCTCCATCTTGAACAACAGGCTTAGTGCTCTAAAGTAGCCTGTGACACAAATTTTAAAGTAGTGAATTACATATATTTAATAGACTAAATTCATAATATGAATGGTAAAATAAATATAACGTACATTTTCTTCACTCTTGTCCAATTTACATTTAACTTCATCTCCTTTCTGTTTTAGCTCTTGTCTCACAGATTCTAGTTCATTCCTAAAAGGAAATGGAAGAGTTGACATTATATTTTCATTTTATTTCCTTTCTGGAATTTATAAAAGGGTTGATTTTTTTGTTGGTTTATTTCTTCATTTTGTTTGGAAATCTTTTATGCATTTCATAACACTCCTACTTCTACATTTAAATTAATTTATACATTTATTTTGAAATTAATTATCTGGATCCTTATAGTCATTTTTCCATTTTAAAAAACCCTAAAAAGAAACACTTATTTCTTAAGATTTCATTTTAATGTATTCTTAGTCATAAACTAGTCATTATTCTAAGACACATTTATAATTTTATATAAATAAATTAGGACATAAATACAAGTGATTTTAATGGAGAACTACATGACTGAGATAAATGCATACACACACATCATTGTACAGGCATAAATTATGGAAATACACACAAGAAACAATGATACCTCTGGGGAGGGAAAGTAGATATAGCAGGAAGATAAAAGGTAAGAAAGATACTTCTCTTTCCCTGTGTGCTCCTTTGTCCCTTTTAATCTTGTGCCATGTGAATGTATTACCCTTTCAAAAATATTTAATTAAAAACCTGTCTGTTGCACATGAAAATAATGGTGGCTTTTCTTTTATGGATACTTGAAACTATTTTTCTAATTGTAGTCTCCCTTGTTACCACTAATGTGTTGCTTGCTGGATATAACCTATGACCATGGAATAGTGTTCAACCGTGTGGAATAACTGGCCTCGTAAAAACTGAATCCAGGATATTTACTCCCATAAAGGTATTATCCAAATAATTTGAATTCTCTTAAATAAAAAGCAGCTTCTCTCTAAAATGTATCTTACATTTTATCCCCAAACTATACAGTTGTTTAATCACAGAAATTCAATCTATAAATAACAGCTACTTCTGAAGGAGAAAATTGAACAAAAAAGACAAAAACATTCATTAGAAGTATAAAAAAAGATGGCTTTCCAAATCTGAAAAATAGTAACAGCTAACAATTATTAAGCACTGACTGTGTGCTAGGCACAGTGTTCAAAATTTTATTCACATTACTTCCTATAATCCTCAAACAATCCAATGAAGAAGATACATTAGGTCTAAACAAGATCTCATATAATTTAAAATAAAAGGAAGTTTTAAAGACAATATTCTTTAACCAATTGTAAGAAACCAAAACTGAGGCTGGTTACCGTGGCTCACACCTGTAATCCTATCACTCTGGGGGGCCAAGGTGGGTGGATTGCTCAAGGTCAGGAGTTTGAGACCATCCTGAGCAAGAGCAAGACCCCGTCTCTATTATAAATAGAAAGAGATTAATTGGCCAACTAATATATAGAGAAAAAAATTAGCCAGGCATGGTGGCGCATGCCTGTAGTCCCAGCTACTTGGGAGGCTGAGGCAGAATTGCTTGAGCCCAGGAGTTTGAGGTTGCTGTGACCTAGACTGACACCACGGCACTCTAACCCAGGCAACAGAGTGAGACTGTCTCAAAATAAACAAAAACACCAAAACTGAATACTTCAGAATATATGTACAAATAAGAGCACCCAGATATTTGGAAATCATCTAAGTTATGAATGGATTTAAAAGAAACTTAAAATATTAAAACAGGTGATTTAGAAAATAATGAACATGGAAACACTACATATCAAACACCATGTCATAAATTCACAGTTGTGTTCAGAAAACTGATGGCTTGAAATGTTGTGTAATTTAAAAAAGAAATATAAACTAAATATCAATATATAAATTTTTAAAAGAACTAAAGAAAATATTAATATTTGATTTCAGGCAGGCAAAAAATTTCTAAGCATAAAAGCAACGGTGTAATCACAAAAGAAAAGATAATCAAATGTGATACAAAATTTAAAACTTCCATATAACAAAAAATTTTCTAAAGTTAAAGGCAAACCACGGGTTAGGGAAAATATAGAATATAAACAGATAAAACATTCACATTTTTTTAAAGCTTAAACAAATCAATAAGGAAACAGTAAAAACCTCAAAAGATTAGAGGGCAACATCTATAAGCAGATAATTTTAAAAAGAAGAAATTCTAATAAGTAAATATAAAAAAATTCCAAAGCTTATCCAAATAATAACAATTACAAATCATGAGTTATTTTTATCTTTTAAATTATCAATAATTTCATAATACCTAATATCAATTAAAACATTTTAGAACTAGCATTTTCATATGTTGGTTGTATTGCATGGTTTACCGCAGACACAACCTATTGGAAACTATTTTACTATTAAGTCATTGAAATCATTATCCTGTGACTTAATAAATTTTATTGCTTGAAATTTATCCCACCAAATTCAAAATAAAAAAAAGTTCATATATGACAAGATGTTTACTACAGTATTATCTATAATAGTGAAAAACTGGAAAATATAAACATTCAAAAATAAAAATGGTTAAAATAAATAATGTTATTATATCATTTGATTGGCTGATACATAGGCACTAAAATAGATTATTATGAAAACACCTAGAAATATGAATAATGTTAAAAATAATATTAAGTAGAAGAGCCACATATAAAATTATATCTCTATAATTATAAGCAAGAACCAAATATATTCTTTAAAATATAGTGGGTATAAATACTCAATATTATAATAGCCAATGTGATTAGAAGTAATTTTTTAAAATTTCTCTTCTAAATTTTCTGAAATATGATTAGTGTACTAAATTCAATGTTAAAGAATTAGAAATTTTATGATGTTTTAAAATTACTTTGTCTAATCTCAGTGTTTCAACACTAAGTATAAAGTAGATATTATTATAATTTTATTTTTAATCAGGATTCCAAAACAGTAATTTAAGTCTAATTTTTACTTTATACAATTTTCAACTTAAGTTTAATCTAAATTAACGATAGAAAAGAAATATTAAAATTTTTTTCCAGACAAAACAAGCCAACTCATTAGTCTTGCCTTAATTGTGTTTCTGCTTCTTCCAGATTTTCTATTTGTTTCAACATCCTCTCTTCTTGCTTTTTTCTATTCTAAAGAAATAATCAATGTTGTTTATATTAATTATTTTGTTTCAACAAAAATAAAATTGAAACTAATATTTAAGACCTTTATCTTTCAGCATGAATTTAGTTATAGGTAAAGCAAAAGAATGAGCTTTTTAACTTGCATACTGGTAGTTCCACACTACTTTTCCAGTGTTACTTTAAATATTTTCCTAACAATCTCTATAAAATAGCTAATACCACAAGTCTTATTTGCTGCTTCCTGGTGCTACTGGGAGTCTTGTATCTTTTGTTCACATTGTTGTGGCTTCAAGGAATGTTTTCCATTCAATGTTACCTACTGAACTCATAATTCACCTCTTAAGGCCCAAATCAATGCCATGTTCTCTCTGAATATAGCATTGATTTCTTCTCAACTAAAGCAGAAGTGATCCTGTGAATTCCGATAACACTGTGCCACTAACAACACATGACATGCTATTTTATGTATTTATTTTTTTCTATGAAATCATAAGTTCTTAAAGGGAAAAGATATCTTATTCATCATTGCATCCTCGACAGTCTTATATGTCTTAATAAATACTTCTTGGCTAAATATTTTTTTAAATCTTAATGCTTAAAATTAAATTGATTAATATCTATGAGTAGCATCTATATATTATCAGAGGGTAGCCTTTCTTGCCCATTATCACTATCTAAGATCAGCATGCATATTTTTCTTCTAAAACAAAGTTTCAGCTCTAAAACATTCAGAATTTTAAAGCTTAAAGAATGTTTAGAAGTCATCTATTCTAATACCCTAAGTCTATAGCTAAGAAAAATAAGTTACCAGTTCTTTCTTTGTCAACTCACATTAATATCTTCTTGCTGTTTCTTGATTTCCAGGACCATATCATTTGTTTCTTGTGCTAGTTCTTTGTTTTCAAGTGAAAGCTTGTTGCAGCTTGCAGTTAATTCAGTATTCTTAAGCCTATTTAAAAAAAATATGTCATACCAAAATATTTACATATGAAATTATATGATATGGAATTTAATTCAAAATAATCTTAGGGGAAAGGAAGGAAGAGATGGGAGGATAAATGAAACAGGATTGGCCATTGTTTAATAATTCCTAAAGCTGGGTAGTTCATTACATTATTCCTTCTACTTTGTAATGTTTAATGTTTTTCTATAATAAGTTTTCAAAATTTCATAAAATAAATTTTCTTGCATATTCCCCATACTTTCATCCCTCTCAAGGGATGAAATTTCTACAAATTTTTCTACAAATTTTGAAGGGTACATTATTTTCTTCACATATATTTTTCTCTCTAGTAGACCATCTCTTGAAAATTGTTTCAAACTTCTGGTAATTTGATTAAAGTAGCCCATGAGCATGAGCTACTTTTTAATTTTTAAAATGTTCATTAAAATAAATAAAACTGGGTTTAACTTTTCATGCACAACATTCAACCTGCTCTTAGAAGGTCCCAAAGGTTCTGCATTAGAAGAGAGATTATTGCTGTCTTTGGATGCAGCTAGGATCAATTTTAAATGAATGCAGAGGAGTATGTGGCTTCTACGGAGTGATTTCAGGAGCACCTATTATCTCCTACTTAATAATACCTGAATTTCATGAAAGAGGACATAAAGCTTTTCCTAGAGCAACAAAAGGTTGAAAAGCAAATATAGGCTGGGTGCGGTGGCTCACACCTGTAATCCTAGCACTCTGGGAGGCCAAGGTGGGCGGATTGCTCGAGGTCAGCAGATGGAAACCACCCTGAGCAGGAGCGAGACCCCATCTCTACTATAAATAGAAAAAAATTAATTGACCAGATAATATATATAGAAAAGATTAGCCGGGCATGGTGGCACATGCCTGTAGTCCCACCTACTCGGGAGGCTGAGGCAGGAAGATTGCTTGAGCCCAGGAGTTTGAGGTTGCTGTGAGCTAGGCTGATGCCTGGGCACTTACTGTAGCCTGGGCAACAAAGCGAACCTCTGTCTCAAAAAAGAAAAGAAAAGAAAATATACCTAGGATAACATAAATTTACACTAAAGTACAAATAACTAACCAATCTACTCATTAAACGAGATTTCAGTTAATAGATGAATTTTAGTGAAGGGTCCTAAAAAGTACTGTTAATAGGGTACCAGAAACAGACAATGAGAACTAAAAGGGAAGGAAGAGGATGCTGCATAAATTGTGTACTTTTCATTTTTATCTAGAGCTGAGAAACAACCGAAAGGGAAAAACCATGCTCACCACTAGACTGGCTTCTTGAATTTATTTCTAAGTAATAATACAATAATTATTTCCCCTACTTTCTCTCCGAATTAAACTTACTGAGTAGGTGAAATCATTCGATTAAATGTTTTATTTGGATAGTGTAAGAAATGAATTTGTATTTTGACATTTTATAAATATAAACCTATATAAGATAGCAAAACAGCCAAAATAACTAGTTAGAATTGCAAATTATCATTTTTACGGGGAATTAAATAACTCCAAGAAAAACAATACATTGATCTTCTAAAGTGGTTTTCAACTTTGTGGTATATTCTTTTTACATAAGTGATATGTACTTCCCTTAGCAATGAAACTGGTAAATTATTTGACATTTAAGAAGGAATAAAATACAATTTCAAATTCAAATAAATTTTGAACATAATTTACTAATATACTAATATTATTTATTACCAGAAAGCTTAGGAATTGAATACATAAGCTATTTATACATAGATGGAAAACATACTTCTCATTTTCAAGCTCAGTTTTCAGATCTTTAACCTGTTTTGAATAATGCTGTTCACTTGTTGCAGAGGCAGTTAGTTTTATTTCCAAATCATGCACTTCTTTCTGCAAAATAAACATGTATAACTATGGCAAGTGTATTTCCAATTTTCTCACTTAAAAGGTATAGTCATGGTATAATCAAGTCATACTTTTGGCAAAAATTTGGCAGGTTATGTCAAACATTTTTAACTTAAGTAGATTTAGGGTGATAATCATAATTTTAAAACAATGAGCAATGACAAATTCAATATAAGTAAATTCTATCTTCATATTCCTAAGCTCAACCAGTAGAATTATATTTACATATTATAAAATATTTTTATCAATTTTACTCTACCAAGTAATTAATTTCAATTAAAATATTATACTGTTAAGGAGAAATGAATTCAGATAGTATCTTTAAAACTAACATATTCTTATTATAAAAAGATAAGGATTTTTGGTTGGTTGTTTGTTTTTGGAGACAGAGTCTCACTCTGATGCCAGGGCTAGAGTGCCGTGGTGTCAGCCTAGCTCACAGCAACTCAAACTCCTGGGCTTAAGTGATCCTACTGCCTCAGCCTCCCGAGTTACTGGGACTACAGGCATGTGTCACCATGCTTGGCTCTAATTTTTTTAAATAAATATTTTTTAGTTGTCTGGCTAATTTCTTTTTATTTTTTTAGTAGAGACGGGGTCTCGCTCTGGCTTAGGCTGGTCTCCAACTCCTGAGCTCAAACAATCTTCCCGCTTCGGCCTCCCAGAGTGCTAGGATTACAGGCGTGAGTCACCACGCCGGCCAAAAGATAAATTATAATAACCATACTTTAAAAGACAAATTCTAAAATTATAACATTAGTACTATAAAAAGTATTACAAACTAAGAATCTAACTAAATTTTAAATGTACCAATTAAGAAATATTGGCCAGGCGCGGTGGCTCACGCCTGTAATCCTAGCACTCTGGGAGGCCGAGGCGGGTGGATTGCTCGAGAGCAGGGTTCGAAACCAACCTGAGCAAGAGCAAGACCCATCTCTACTATAAATAGAAAGAAATTAATTGGCCAACTAATATATATATACAAAAATTAGCCGGGCATGGTGGGGCATGCCTGTAGTCCCAGCTACTCGGGAGGCTGAGGCAGAAGGATTACTTGAGCCCAGGAGTTTGAGGTTGCTGTGAGCTAAGCTGACGCCACGGCACTCACTATAGCCTGGGCAACAAGCGAGACTCTGTCTCAAAAAAAAGAAATATTTGGCCAAGCACAGTAGTATGCACTTGTAGTCCCAGCCACTTAGGAGGCTGAGGCAAGAGGATCACTTGAGCTCAGGAGTTCAAGGCTACAGTGCAACATGATCATGCCTGTGAATAGCCACTACAACTCAAACTCCAGGCTGGGCAACATAGTGAGACTTCATCTCAAAAATAAAAAGAAATATTTTAGACAGCAAAAAATGTATTTGTTATAAACCACAGCATTATACATTGTATTGATATCTTAAATATTGACCTTTCTCTCCTACATTATAATAACAAAGTTTCTCTAGATGTGCTTTAAATCAATTAGTACATTAAGTATAACAAGAACACACACTTTTAAAAGGAATTTTGTGAAGAAATCTTTCACAACACAAATAGCTATACCATAATCTATTTTGTAAATCTATATCCTATTCAAGAAATATTTGAAATAAAAATTTATCCTTAAACAAACCTCTCTGGTTTGGAGAAGACCTATTAGTTCTTGTTCTGCTCCTTTTAATTCTTCAGCAATCTTCTCAAATTGTTTCTTTTCATCTAAAAGCTTTTGGTTTTCTGCCTAATTAAAAACATTAACAAATCAGGAGAACCAAAACATACACATATTAAAAATAATCAAACTGCCCAAATAGAGTTGTGGGAAGAACTATGAGCTTCTCCTTGGCTAACATTCTTTAAAAGGAGAAAATAACTCAGTATTAAGGAAACTCAAAAACTAAATATGATGACAGAGAATTTAATAAGCAGAGCCCTGGCACAAAAGCCATAGAATTTTAATTTAAAAAGTCATACAATTCATTGAATTCAAACCTTATCTTATGCATAAATCACTCCAAATTATTAGCAAGCAGGTAGTCACTCACTATTCTATCAATCTTCTTTGTCCCTATATTGCACTAAAATGTGCTTTCCTATAATTTTTATGCAATGGTCATTATTCTTCCTTCCATAATCATGTAGGAGAAGACTAATTCTTTTCTCACATGATAACTGACTCATTTTTGAAGAGAGTATCATCACTCCCTAAGTTTTCTCTTAACTATTCTAAAATCTCTAGTACTTCTTAGTATCATCTTCTTAAGAAATGATTTTGAATTACCTCATTCCCTCAGGATGGGCTCACTTTGTCAACACACTGTTTTAAACAAGGAGTCAAGAATTTAACCCAATGTTCTAGACCAAGGCTCAGCAAACTAAGCCTACAGGCCATATCGAGCTCACTGTCTGTTTTTATAAATAAAATTTTACTGTAATAAAGCCACATCTATTTGTTTACATATTGTCTGTGTCTGTTTTATATTGTAACAGCAAAGTTAAATAGCTGTAACAGAGACCATGTGGCCCACAAAGGCTATAAGATTTAATACTGACCTTTTACAGAAAAATTCTGTCAAAGCCTGCTCTAGATTAGATAAGCCGTGTATAATACAACTTTCTGCAACAATGGAATCATTTTCTGTGTTGTACAATATGATAGCTATTGAGTACTTCAAATATGGCTATTGAAACTGAGTAACTGTTAAATTTCATTTATTTGTAATTAATTTAAATTTTAATAGCCACATTTGGCTAGTGACTATCATACTGGACAGCACAGCTCTAGAAACTGAGCAAGTATAACACAACCATTAATTCTTCTGTTATAAGTACTTAATTTCTTTTTATCCATGTCAGACAGGTAATGTGCCAATGTTGTAGCAAAGTTTGAGAGAGGTATATCTCATACATGAATGTGAAAACCCCACCATCAAACTTATGAACTACAAAAGGATCTGGTGCTTAATTGCCAACCATTCCCCCTGCTATTCAACACAGTATATATATATGAACTCACTTTTTACTTTGTTTACTCAAGGATGAGGTCACAACAATTTTATGACAAGCCTAACAATAAAAGGTCCTATATAATTAACTATAAAAACTACTAATTGTAGTTAAAGATTTTGAATTTTATCTGTAGTCAATGTGGAGCCATTAAAAGTTAATACAGCAATATAACATCATCATATTTGTGACTGTAAAAGATAATACTAGCAATAGGGCAGAAGAAAGCTTAAGTAGTGTGGACGTAATGAGAAAATCAGTTATGAGACTACTGTGTAAAAATAAACAGGAGATGAGAAGAGTTTAAATTATGTCAAGGACTGTGGAGATAGAATGATGACAATAATCACACTTTTGACTAATTTCTACATACCTAACCCTAATTAGACGCTTTAAATATATTTTTATTTCTTATACTACTCTGCAAGTTAGATGTTTGCATCTCAATTTGACAGATTAAAAAAATAGAAACGGTTTTCCAGCTTTTAGAATGTCATTATAACCTCATACTTACAGACTAACTCTACTACTGAAAACTACTATACTCTGGACAAAAACCACTAAACTCTGGACAAAACATACATACACAAAAAATATATATATATGTATATGTTTGTATGTGTGATATATGTTTGTGTGTAGTATACGCGCGCGCGTGTGTGTGTGTGTGTGTGTGTGTGTGTGTGTGTGTGTGTGTGTATCTCAAAACTAAGGATTCTAAAGAATAAAAAAAAAGTAGCACAAGTGACTGAGAGACAAGTGAATTTCTCAGTTTTCGGCAACTTTGTCCCAATGATGGAAGTTCCTGCTCAGCAGCCTGGTAGAATCAGCTAAAACTACAAAAGAAACTCCACCATCTTTCTTGCTGAAGGAAGCAGGGAAAGGAGGACTGGGAACCATGACTCACTGCCAGAATATGAAGGAGAAATCATACAGAGCAGGGAACCAGAGAAAGTAATCTCCTAATTCCACATATGAACACTAAACAAATCTAAAACCAACCTGTGAAGCATGTATTCATATACAGACTCAAAAGCAGCTCACCAAAGGCTCAGAGAATTAAACTGAGATTTGAAGTGTCATTCACAGAAGGTGAGACAGAACTTATTATGGAAATACCTCAAACAGCTAGATATAGAAATAGCATTTGACCCAGCAATAGCATTGTTGGGCATCTACCCAAAAGAGCTTAAGACATTCTACTATAAAGACATCTGCACCCGAATGTTTATGGCAGCACAATTCACTATTGCAAAATCATGTAAACAACCCAAGTGTCTGTCAATTCACGAGTGGTTAACTAAAATTTGGTATATGCTCACAATGGAATACTACTCAATTCTAAGAAATGACAGTGAATTTGCACCATTTATGCTATCCTGCATTAAGCTTAAACCCATTATCCAAAGTGAGGTGACACAAGATCAAGAAAACGGGCTCCACATCTACTCACCATCAAATTGGTACTGACTGATTAAAACTATGATGCTCAAATGGGGATAGTCCCCACTAGGGTTTGGGGGAGGGGGGATACACATCTTAGGGTTGTGGTGAGCATAGTGGGGGGGAGAGGGAATACATCTAACCCTTCCAAGGGAAAGGCTAAGATATACAATGTAACCCAAAGGTCAAAAAAAAGGGAAAAAACAAACAAACAAACAAACTTTTATCGGGTGGTGGGCAAATGGGAGGGGGAAGGAGGGGAAGAATGTACACTTACAAAATAGGGCGATGAGCACCACTTGAGAGTGGACATGCTTGATGTTTTGGTAAGGCAGGGGGGTGGGGGTGGGGAGGAATGGCAGGGGCAATATATGTAACCCTAACAATATTTGTACCCCCATAATATGAAAAAATAAAAAATTTTAAAAAAGAAAAAAAAAGAAACTAGTTTACTAACTTTTTAATAAAAACATTTACATTATTCAGAAGAATATAATAGAACCTATAGTCTACATACCATAACCTTCACAAAGTCTTCAATATGATCCAAAATTATTCAACATACAAAGAACTGGTAAAATATCAACATTCTCAAGGAAAATGGCAACCAACATATGCTAACTTCAGTATAACCAAAGTGTGAAAGCTTTACAAGATGAGAACTTTTATGCACATATTATAACTATACCCAATCAGGTACAGGAAATACTCTTGAAATGAATAAAAAGATAGTAAATCTAAGGAAAAAATAGAAAATAAACCAAATAAAAATTTAAAAAATGGTAAAAAAGGTTCATGGATGGCCTTAAGAGCACAATGGAGATTACAAGGCAAGTGCCAGTGAATTTGAATATCAGAACAATAGAAGTGATCCAATATGAATAACAGAGAGGAAAAAAACTGAAATAAAAATAAATAGCACCTTAGGAACCTACAGAATAATATAAAAAGACAAACAGATATATAATCATACTCACAAATGTTGGCCAAAACGTTCCATATTTGAAGGGAATTAAAGATTTATGAAGTGCAGCCAATCACAAAAAGAATAATACAACTTCACTTACATACTGCTGACAAACCAAGTTAAGTAGAAAATCTTGACAGTATATTTGTGGCTTTCTCATTATAAAATAGGGACAATAAAATATCATCTTTAAAGTGCTGAAAGAAAAAACTGTCAATTCACAATTCTATTTCCAGCAAAAATATCCTTTAGGAATTAAGATTAAATAAATGACATATTCAGAAAAAAAAACTAAGAGAATTTGTTGCCAGCAGAACCACACTACAAGAAATGCTAAAGGAAGTTCTTTAGGCTGAAGGAGAACAAATTAGAGGTGAACTAGGATCTTCAGGAAAAAATTAAGAACATCAAAACTAGTATTAATAAATGTCATGGTAAATGTAAAAGACTATTTTTTCCTATTAAGTCCTTTAAAAAATATATGACTGCTTAAGGCAAAAAATCAAAACACTGTCTTGTGAGGATGTAAATGCATGTAGGTGTAATATATATACAACAACTCTAATATAAAGGACAAGGTAGATAAAGGGACATATATAGTTAAAAGGTTTCAACATTTTACATGAAGTGGTACAATAGTAACTCAATGTAGAGAAGTAATATATACATGTTGTAATCCCTAGAGCAACCGCAGAAATAAATGCAGAGAGGTATAGATAATATACCAATAGATATATTAAAATGGAATACAAAAAATATCAAATAATTCAAAAGAAGGCATACAGTGTTAAACAGAGGTACAAAACTAAATGAACAAACAAGTTTTTAAATGGTGAATCTAATTTAACCACATCAGCATTTAAACAAAAATTTTAAAATATATTAATGACCTAAACTCTCTAATTAGCAGAAACTATCAGAGTGGATAAAGAAAGAAGACCCAATTACATGCAAGTTACATCTATAGACATATTTAAAAATATAAAGACTAAGAAATATTGAAAGATATATCATGCAAACAATAAGCATGAGAAACATGGAGTGGCTATAACACTATCAGTTAAAATAGACTTCAAGACAAAAGATTATCAGAGATAAAGAGGGCATTTAATAATAGTTAATTCATCATGAAGATATGATAGTTATATACAGATGTGAGACTTATAGAAGAAATTCAAAATACATGAAACAATCATTGACAGGATTAAAAACAGAAATAGAAATTCCAAAATCATAGGAGTTTTAATACCCTTTTCTCAATAAAGAATAGAACTAGATTTTAAAAATCAATAAAAATCAGATTTGTACATATAACATCATCAACT